CCGTGACGGACGAGACTCTAAGGGCGGACGCACACCAACTGCGTCAAGACAAGCATCAAGACATGAGACAAAAGACGCAGTCTTGCTTCATTCCTGATTCGTCAGTATGAAGCTAACGTCAGCATCATACCGGTGTGCGGCGGTTTTCATAATCTCATTCGTTTCAACTGTGCTCCTTTCTTTGCGTCATGTCGCAGACATCGTGTCTTGACTGTTATATGTCTTGATGCATGCCGGTGTGCGGCCTACCTAACCTTTTCCCATTCAGAATTAATGACCAACTTACTCTATGTATGCTGTTATATTTTTCACTTTGTATTGAGTTCGCACTGCGGTAAAACAAGGAAGGAATATTTTCGTGTGATACCTCGTCTGACTTGTGTTCGAAAGAGAACTGGGTTTCGAATCTCGGCTAGAAGACTTAAATGCTGTAATAGACCACAATAATCTGCGTCTTTGCTTTTCTCATTTCAGACTCGTCTTCATGTCTTGCACGACCCTACGTATGCCGTGATGCAGCGTCTTTAAATAGCACCACGTTCAGAAACTATTCAGAATTTTTCACAGAAATGAATAAATGGAAAACTTGCAAGTTAAGTTTTAACTCCTTAATTGAATTACAGTTTTAACTTAAATCTTCATGGGAATTCTTGAAGGGGGTCAGGGCAGGATTTGTTTTATCTTTAATTCATATCCGTTGAAACTGCAAAATGTGAATAAGTTATTTAAATTACAACTTTTAATTGCTCCAAGTGTATTTATATGATATTCAAAACTTCTATTACTTGTAATATTTAATAAAAATATATTAAAGAGTCGACAACAGAAAGTAACAAATTATGTGTGTACTTTAGTGATAATATTTAAGTTGCTAATAAGGAAAATGACTCATATGAATCCGTTTGTTTCTTCTTCAGACATTTTCACACCGCTGCATATATTTCTACCAAATCCGTCATGATGGTAGAGACCTTCTCTGGGAAGCATTTACACACTTCGAAATTTACCCAGAATTTTTTAAGCCAATGGAACAGATTTTTCTTCTTATTGTTCGAGAAATATTCTGCGTTCTGTATTTTTACGTTAGGGAAAACTTAGAAGAACAATCTCGCTTACTGTACATGTAAAACTCTTTTCGCTTCTTTCGACATTTAGTTTGCAGTTTTCAAAGTTAAATGACGATTCTTAAAAATATGCAGAGTCAATCATTTACTTTAAAATGAATTAGTTGATTTCTTTCAAATTTTATTTATTCGTAATAATAAGATGGACATCATAATATGAAATAAGCCCTGAAAACACAGGATTGATAGCAACTAACCAATTTAAGTTGGTATAAAAACGTTATTCAATAGCACATATTAGAGAGAGGTACTATGCAGTTCAGTTGGAAATTAAAGGTTATCAGGTTTACATATGTAGGATAAAATATAATCTGAAATATTGAGTTCAGAATTAGCTATAGCACAAATTCTCTGACATTAGAATGAAGTAAAATATCTTCTAACAACTGAAACAAAACTTAAGCTAAATCATAAGGTTACTGTTATTGTTCACAGTGTTTTCATTGTTTCAGATAAGTAGTTATAAACTTTTCACAAAGAATGCGTTAACTTGTACTGATGAACATAACTCATTCTACAAATTATAATGACCTCATGACCTACATAACATGCGACCAATGCAGTGCAATGACAATGAACTTCAAAACTTGACAGAAGTACTTGTTACTAGTTGTAATCTTCAACCCCAATCACTAAATCATTCATAGAAACTCAATTTACGAGTCGCCATTGCACCTGATGGCTTGTATTCAGAATGTTACAGTCTGGCAGCCGTGTCTTTGTTCCACTATACACGTCATTGATCGATTCGAGTCCCGCTGACTTGTCCCTTGCGTCACATTACGTAAGAACATGAAATGCCACGTTACAACTCAGCGTTATACTTTTCAAGGTGACTCTTTTGTGTATTAATTTGTTTCGCATTATTTTTGACACTGAATTTACAAAAGAAAATTTAATGTAGACTAATTTGTTTGTTGACAATAATTATTGAAAATAATTTAGCGAATCTAACAAACTGAGATTATGATAGGGTTTTTGGTCTAGGTCAGGGTCTTCCAAAACTGGAGCCGTGGAAGCCCAGGGGAGTATGAAACTCTTACAGGGGGATGCAACAATTTTAATAATTTAATTATAATTAAATATTTGTCTTACATATAAATTGATAAGAAAATTACATATTTAATTTAGTAACAGAAAAATTTTACTTCACAAATATAAAAATATTTATAAACACTTCTAATTTTAAATATACTAAATCATATTTAAAATAATTTTCTTTTGATGTGCATGGTCTCAAATATTTTTATTCTCAACAGAAGAACCTCTGGCTAAGAGAATGTGGAAATCGCTGGTTTAGATCATGCAGTGTTCAACAATGGATCCACAACAATTTGAACACTCTTCACTATCATTATTACTGGTTTTTTTAAATAAGGAATTTGAGAGGGCAGGACATGAAACATACAGAGAAAAAATGCATGCTCTGTTTCATTTCGATATGTCGTTAAAAAGGGGCAGTAATATAGGGTGTCGCACCTTAATAGTATAATACCGTAATAAGGGGCTCTTCTGTTCAACCCTAATTTCCTTTTCAAAAGTTTAAATGAAAGTAGTGAGTCTATAATAAACTATTATCCATGTCTGTATATAATTTCTACCCTTAAAGTTTCGAACCTCTGCCACTGTTATAACTTTCTGCATCTGAACGAATATTTTATTATATATAATAAATATAAATACAAATCAAAACCTGATTCAGGAGGAAATTAAGAGGAGATTGAATCCGGGTAGTGTCTACTACCATTCAGTCTAGAACCTTTTGTCTTCTCGTCTAATGTCAAAAAACATAAAGATTAAAGTATACAGAACTACAATTTTGCCTGTGGTTCTGTATGGGTCTGAAACTTGATCTCTGACATGGAAGAACATAGACCTAGTGTGTTTGAGAACAGGATGCTTATAAGAATATTTGGACCGAAGGAGATGAAGTGACAGGAGGTTGGAGAAAACTGCATAATGAGGAGCTTCATAACTTGTACTCTTCTCCAAGTATAATTAGAATGATCGAGTCAAAGAAGGTCAGGTGGGCAGGGAATGTAGCACGAATGAAAAGAAGAATGCATATAGGATATTGGTGGGAAAGCCAGAAAGAGACAGACCACTGGGAAGTCCAAAGGTTAGGATGGTGGACAATATTAAAATGAACCTTAGAGGGATAGAATGGATTGATCTGGCTTAGGATAGAGACCAATGGAAGGCTTTTGTGAACACGGTAATGAATCTTCGGGTTCCATAAAATGCTGGGAAGTTCTTGAGTAGCTGCAGAATTGACGGCTTCTCAAGAAGGGCTCAGCTCCATGAGTGAGTGAGTGATTATCTATATTTTAATTAGATTGAATTATCACCTGCAATAAACAAAAATAAATCATTAAGTAATTGTAGGTGATAATTAACTCTAGTTTATTATATTATTTAACTGAACCTAGGAAGCTTGTTACATTAAGTAATTCCGAACATTTACGCTTTATAAATTATATGATGTATAAATTTAGATACGTAAATATATATATATTATTGAGTTAAAATTGTTTCTACCACTTATTTTACACCAGATTAATCTATAGAATCATAATTATTGTCTCAACAGCAGCAGTTATTCTGAAGGCTGAATTTCCAATCCCTGATTCGTCTATGAAGAAATGGGACAGAAGTGTACTGATTTTTTTTTACTGCTAGTGGGGTGGGACTAAATCCCTTGTACTGCGGCCACTTCTGGCCTATTGTACCAACCCCAGATGATAGGTGAGGGTGATTGTCGAGCAATTGGTGGAATGAAGATTGGTAGGGGAAACTGAAGTACTCGGAGAAAACCTGCACCAACGCCACTTTGTCCACCACAAATCCCACTTGACCAGACCCGGGATCGAACCCGGGCCGCCCCTGTAGCGCGGCCTCAATTGTACGAATTGCTGATATACGTATGTAATTCCGACGTCAGCTCTGTACAGTGACGGAAAACCAACAAATTTAACTTGACGTCACAATTCACCCGTCTCATTTCCATGCAATGCTCTTACTAATATTATTATCACGAGGTACGTGGTAAGCTGTGCTGCCAAGTTTCACGCTTCTTGGTAGACTAAACGTCAATTCACCAACCTGTGATGTTAGCAATTAGGCAAGTGAAATCCCACATGTGGATTTAAGCACACACAAAACAATTCCAGATAGTGCAGTTGTGTGAAAAGATGTTTCAGAATCCGAAAATTCTGTGAACAGCCACTCCAAATTAAGTATACAGAGTGTATATAAGGTTTGTTACACGCTTTGTTGTATATAGATATGTTCATTGTGATCATATTTTGTTAATACACCCATATCAGGAAGCGCTTTATTTACGCCCTAGGGTCTCTGAAATGGGAAGGAGANTCCGTGAGTATTTGGATGAAACCTTTGGCAACAGATGGATTGGACGTGGAGGCCTAATAACCTGGCCCCCTCGCTCTCCTGACTTGACTGCAAGTGATTTCTTTCTTTGGGGGTACATGCAAAGCCTGGTGTACGTGACTCCAGTGGAGACACAACATGATGATGTGGCAAGAATTGCTGGAACCATCCGGGAAATGCCGGAAATCGAGTTCAGCATAACATAGCTAGGTAGTGCAGAACATGCAATGAAGTCGGCGGCCGCCATTTTGAGAAACTTTCATAACGTAAAACAACGATAACATCCCTTAAAATTTATGCATCCTCTAGGAATATTCTTTTGTGAACTGCAGTGTCAAAAGGAAGCGTTTCCGGACAGTGGTGTATTGACAACATATGATCAGATTGAACCCATCTATACCACAGCGTTGTAACATATATTTGTTTACACTCTGTATTAACATTTCCGAAAGGTGCAACAACTCATATTAAGTGCCCATTATTTACCTTTCACTGATATCGACGCTTGATCCCGGGGATGCGCGATGAACGTCCAATCGACTTTCCAGCTCCTTCCAGAATCGACGCAACATATCTGATAGACCGTCTCGACAGGCACTCGAACAATCGTCTTCAATTCTGGCAGAGTCATCAAGATTGTGGTAACTAACACATTTTCCTAGAGAACTGAACCTCACTGATTGCACGAAGAAAGAAAAATTCTCCATGTCTGGTCCATTTACCAGGCTTGCTTTACTTATAAATTCAGAAACCTTTAACTCGACCTATTTTTTAAAATTTTTTTTTTATTCCTAGTGGGGTGGGACTAAGTCCCTTGTACTAGGGCCACTTCTGGCTTATAGTGTGTCTGGTTCGCAGCGTAATCTTCACCTTTCACTCCTTACTTGCTTATTTACTCATGGAGCTGAGCCCTTCTTGAGGAGCGGCCAATTCTGCAGCTACTAAAATATTTCCCAGCATTTTACGGAACCCGAAGGTTCATCACCGTGTTCACAAGAGCCCTCCACTGGTCTCTATCTCGAGCCAGACCAATCCAATTCATACCATCATATCCGGTCTCTCTAAGATCCATTTTAATATTGTTCACTCACCTACACCTTGGTCTTCCAAGTGGTCTCTTTCTCTTTGACTTTCCCGCCACTCTCCTATATGCATTCCTCGTTTCCTCATTCGTGCTACATACCCTGCCCACCTCATCTTCTTTGACTTATCATTATAATTATACTTGGAGAAGAGTACATGTTATGAAGCCCATCATTATGCAGTTTTCTCCAGCCTCCTCTCGCTTCAACTCTCTTCGGTCCAAATATTCTCCTCAGCGCCCTGTTCTCAAAAACCCTCAGTCTATGTTCCTCCCTTAATGTCAGAGACCAAGTTTCAAACCCATACAGAACCACAGGAAAAATTATAGTTTTATATATTCTAATTTTCATGTCTTCGGACAGCAGAGGAGAAGACAAAGGGTTCTGGACTGAATGGTAGCAAGCATTGTCAGAGTTCAGTCTCTACTTAATTTCCTCCTGAATCGATTTTGATTTGTTATCGTCATTCCCAAATATCTTAACTGTGCCACATTTTCAGAACATCTGTTACTTATTTTATGTCATGATTTTGCCCTGCATTTTGGTGACGAGACAGAATGATATACTTAGTTTTCTCTGTGTTTACTTCTAAACCAAGCTCCTTACTGATGTATCCCATTTAATTTCAGTCCAACCCGGTTTTCCTGGACCTTCCTAATGACACACTCTAAAGTAAATTTGAAAAGCAGAAGCAATAGAACATTCCCTTGTTTTAGACCATTCTGGATAGTAAAATTATCAGACAAATGTTTGCCTATACGGACTTTACAATAAGTTTGTTTTAAACACACTTTAATCAACCTAATTTCTTTTATGCTAGTGGAGTGGAACTAAGTCCCTTGCACTGCGGCCACTTCTGGCCTACTGTACCAACATCAGATGATAGGTGAGGGTGATTGTGGAGCAATTGATGGAATGAAGATTGGCAGGGGAAACCGAAGTACTCGGAGAAAACCTGCCCCAACGCCACTTTGTCCACCACAAATCCTACTTGACCAGACCCGAGATCGAACACGGGCCGCCGCAATGGGAAGCCAGCGACTAACCGCTTGAGCTATGGAGCGGCCCTTAATTAGCCTACTCCAAACTTTATCAGAATATTGTACAATACTTCCTTTCTAACTGAATCAAAGGTTTTCCTGAAGTCTATGAATAACAGAAATGTATATTTCAGATTGTCAATAATAATAAATTAAAGAAATATAAATAAAAAATAAAAAAACTGATATTCTGTCTAATTGATCCCTATTTTTTTTTCAGANAACTGAATCAAAGGTTTTCCTGAAGTCTATGAATAACAGAAATGTATATTTCAGATTGTCAATAATAATAAATTAAAGAAATATAAATAAAAAATAAAAAACTGATATTCTGTCTAATTGATCCCTATTTTTTTTTTCAGTATATGATGAATGCAAGGGATCTGATAAGTAGTTGATATCTTATGTCTAAACCCACACTAATGCTCCCCATTAAATTCATCGCATAATGAACACCGCTGAGTCTCATAACCAACATGGAGTTATTTATGACTGTGAACAATAAATGAATAAGAACCTATCACGATGATTACAGTGGCCATGCGGTCTAAGGCATGAACTGTCTTCGCTCGTTCGAATCCTGGGATCGTGGTTTCAAGTCCTACTCAAGGAATGGATGTCTGTATATGGGTTTATGCTGTGTTTATTGTGTCCTGTGCAGATAGCGGCTTTCGGCGGGCTGACCATTCGTACAGTGAGTCCTACCGACTGTGTAAAAATGATTATGAAACTGAAGAACAGGCCAGGACTCAACAAAACGCTAAAGGGTCATTGAAGAATTGGTAAATAATTGAATGAGTGAATGAAAAAGGATAAGAAGCGGAAAATAAGAAGTTCCAGCGTGGGAGACCGAGAGTAGTTCAGGGAATCATAAAAATGTAGCGAATTACGTAAGATAGACTTCCCCAGTTTTGCGATAAACTTTATTGTGTTATGAAACTCAAAATGCGCCCTGAAATTAGGAAAGTTTTCCGCAGTAATATGATGCCATGAATGAAAAATATTACAACAACTGTGAGACATACATACACATAATTTCATGGCAAAATTATATTTTCTTTAACACTATGTAGACACATCACGAAATAGAATACTTTTACCTCATGCCTCACGAACTGCAGTAAAAGGTACAAAGATAAATCTCTAAAGAACATTATTTTGAAATCAACTATCACAAACCTAATTTTTATTTTTAGTGATACACATTTGAATTTGAACACAGCATATTTCAGATGTAAATGTTTAAATAAATAGATCTCTAGTTAATGAATTTAACCGACAATTTAAATTCACTGGTAAGTATGTAGCGTGTCCTTATAACTCGAACATTCATACCGCCTTTTCATCTTATTTTTGTCCAAATTAGATTTTACAAAGTACATTTCACTTCCAATAATTTGTATGTTTCATGTTTCCTTAATTTTCATAACAAATCCTTTTATAAATTTTGATAAATCATAGCTTCTCTTAACACAAAATAAATATTAAAAATGCATCTGAGTTAATTTTTGCCTCGCCAGTCTGATCCTAATATGGCGGTCCATCGAATTTTGAAAAAAATTCATAGAAACAGATTTAGAATTCCATTCATTTAATCTCATTTGAAGAATAATATTCACGGTCAGTATCCGATATAATGTTTATATATATATATAATATAAATGTTTAAATTAATAACAATAAAAATAACATTTTCTTTTTATAATAAAAACCTGTTCTACAAAGCAAGAGAAACTCTGTCTGTCTATGTATCTATCTGTTTACAGCTCTACAGCCCTTTCTTATGCCTTGGTCATTTTTTCAAATTCTTCACCTTTTACACAGTCGGTAGGATACTTTGGACGTGGAATCAGGCCGTTGCAAGGACGCTACCGGCACATAGAACAATACAAACACAGAATAAACGCACACAGACAGCCATAACTCGTGTGGGATTCGAATCCACGATCCCAGTGTTCGAGTGGGTGAAGACGGTTCATGCCTTAGACCGCGTGTCCACTATGAGGGGCAGGAGAAACACTGAATATCATTAATTCAGATATTGATCTACTTCAGTAAGAGAAGGGACTGTAGTAAATATGGCGGACAAAGGATGCGGAAGTGTTAGTACGGAAGTGAATATCGAAAACGGAACAAAAGAAGAAAGGAGAACGAGAGAGCTAAGGTGTAACAGCGGGTTGATATTTTCACTTCCTTCTGCAAACTTTGCATTCCTATCACGTTCATAGAACAAACGTATTAATTGATTTCTTAGTTAAAACCTTCAGACTTCCTTCAGTGGTCTCCCTTGCTATTAGTGGATTCGCTTTCGTCAATTAGCGAAACCGTTCTTTGGATTATGCATTCATGTTTCTTCGGACTGCACCAAACTGAATGCCCCTGTCTAGTTATGTAACCATGTGAATGAAATTCAGGCTACATTATGTATCTCACGGCCTTATATGAAAGTTTATAATGGTTACCTTAGATTTCTTCTTTTTTTTCCCTTGGCACTACAGCCCCAGTGGGCCTAGGCCTACCTCCATGAACTTCTCCGTTCACTTCGGTTTTTCTAGATCTTACACATTCGGTAGGACTCCTTGGGCGGGTGATCAGCTCGTCGCAAGGCCTCTACCTGTACACAAACACAGAAAAACCCACACACACAAACTAAACATCCATGCCCTGAGTGGGATTCGAACCCACGATCCCGGTTTCCAAGCGAGCGAAGACAGTACATGCCTTAGACCGCTCGGCTAGCGTGACCGGCTTTTCTTCTTTTACTCTTCATATTTTACCAGTCTGCAGTAGTTCTGAGTGGAAGACATAACAGGCACGCGATATTCTATGCATAATTATTATGCCTTTCTCTGTGGATTATGTTACATTTCTCATTTTCGTTGATGATTTCTGCCTGTTCCATAAGCGACACAGATACAAAAGACTCGTGCCTGCCTATCAAAACTTACTTAATCCGTTCCTCTTATATCTTACGGTGTTGAGTGTACAGTCGACTCATAGATGGCGGTAAGGTTGTCAGCCTTACTCGCCGGCCGCTCTTTACCCCCAGGAATATTCCTGGCACTCATTTCTTTTAGAGACTGAGTCGACCCCAGGGCCATATTGCGGCCTGAAAGGTTAGGTCAATTGAAAAAATCCACCTCATCGGGATCGATCCCGCGACTTTCCGGCTTGTAGCATAGTGCCTCAACGAACTACGCTACCGCGTGCCCCGTACGAGTTGTAATTATCCTGTTAATCGGTGATTGATGAAGGAAGATATGGTCACCCTAATATCCGTCACAGACAAAGGTATCGTCACGTAAAACTAAAGTCGATTTTTCTTGTACGTTGATCGTAAAGGTAAGAGTAAAGCTGTCCCTGAAATGCACCATGGAGCCCCATAGGATTTTGGGACGTTCAGTCTCCCACATTTTCTAGACAGTTGGCTCACGGATCGCTGTGAGGATATCAGTCATACGCGCCGGCCGCCCTTTACCCCCATGATAGAAGACTTAAAATTTAAGCAACAAACTTTATTCAGAAACTCAAGGCTCAAGAGCATGGGCGCCTGACAGCGTCCTTTATTTTTTGTGGCTTATTTTATGACTCTGTCAGTAGCTCAGACCATGCAGCGTCGAATAGAACGACAATTAATAAATAATGAATTTAGAAAGATGTTGAAGTAGTGGTTGTGGCCTAATCTGAGGTATTATCCTGACACTTGTCTACATACGCTGAGGGAATCTACAAAATACCTGAGTCATTAAAGCCAGTCTCCGGGTCGGGATTTGAATATGTGACCTCCCGAATACGACGCATGAATGTCACGACGTTCTATGTGAGTGTCGTTAAATAACACATAAATAAATGTTATGAAATATCCCTGTTCCAATATGAAAATATCCCTTTATCATAGCCGGAAATTGCATTCTAGTAGAGACGTTTGACGTTGAACTCATACAAAGAAGCAGACAGAAAGCTAGTTTTTTTTTAGTGTATGTAAAAATGTTTATTGAAGCCTGCGCAGAAAGATAAAATCACAAATCGAACGAAACAACAAACGAGTCACAAGCTAGCCTGACGGTGTAGCTGTATTTCTGTACACGGCAGGAAATATCATGCATGACACTACTGAAATCATGACGTAATTTAGTGACGTAGCTCTGGTAGACTAATTCGCTTTGCTTCACAAATAACAGTAAAATAAAAAAGTAGATACATTGTTGTCTTTTATCTTTCTTTTCCGTTCGGGAGAATTCAAGTTATTATAATTCTGCACTTTATATTTTTCAAATGAATGGGTACAAAAGCATGAAACTCTTATAATGGGAAGTAATTAAAGAAATAAGAGTGGATTTGAGGGAAATCAACACATATGGAAAGCCGCAAAATATAATAGAATAGGGCAGTTGACTATAGAGCAGGATAAAATCATAGCCAATAAATTCTTCGAAAATTTGGTATTGTTAATTTATGTTGAAATAGCAGCAATAAATCAAAATCACATTTACAAAGAAGTAAAAGACAAAGACACATTAAATTCCGAGAAATTCTCATTATTAATATATATACTTGTATATAACACAATCGATGCAGACAAAATTAACGTTACACAACGTCACAATCATACATTGTAGTACGGACTAACATACAAACTTTATTAAAAATACCATACTATACCTACCATTGCTTAGCTCTGTTTAGAACACACACCAATTTTCGTCTGAATGCAACTAGTATCCATTTTAACTTCCTCTCCATAGCTCAAGCGGTTAGTCGCTGGCTTCCCACCGCGGCGGCCCGGGTTCGATCCCGGGTCTGGTCAAGTGGGATTTGTGGTGGACAAAGTGGCGCTGGGGCAGGTTTTCTCTGAGTACTTCGGTTTCCCCTGCCAATCTTCATTCCACCAATTGCTCCACAATCACCCTCACCTATCATCTGGGGCTGGTACAATAGGCCAGAAGTGGCCGCAGTACAAGGGACTTAGTCCCGCCCCACTAGCAATAAAGGAAATCCTTTTAACTTAAGACATAAAGTCAGCTAATGAAACTTTGTGTGTAATCTGAATTGGCAAAGGTAAGGTAAGGTAAGGTAAGCCGGTCAATGTAGCCGAGCGGTCTAAGGCATGTATTGTTTTCGTTCGCTCGGAAGACGGGATCGTGGGTTCGAATTCGACTCAGGGCATGGATGTTCAGTGTTTGTATACAGGTAGAGGCCTTGCGACGAGCTGATCACCCGCCCAAGGAGTCCTGTCGAATGTGTAAGATCTAGAAAAACCGAAGTGAACGGAGTTCATGGAGGTAGGCCTAGGCCCACTGGGGCTGCAGTGCCAAGGGAAAAACAAGAAGTTGTTCCTGTGCTTAACTAATTAAGCTGCACGCCATGATGGCGTATGGGGGAGTGGATGTATAGATCCACATTTTCTTGTTTTCGGCATTAGTTGGAGGTGAACTGGCAAAGAAAGTACCGTTTTCACATGTCGAAGAAATGGAGAAAAATGGCTGTTATTTCCGAGCAAGGAATCTTATTTATAGAATCGAAGTGTTAATGCTGAATCCATACAGAGACAGCAGTACTGATGTTCCATATTATAGACGAGAGAAACCCCGTCATTGCTCGTAATTCCCAATAACAATTCAAACAGGAAATTTATGTTTGTCTCTGCAACACTAACAGCCAAATCATCTTAAGAACTACAAAAATGAGCAAACGGGACAGGTACAAGAGGGTAAAGTAAAAGGTAAAGTTCTCCCTGTGCTTAATCAGTTGAGTACTATGCCATTAAGACGTATTGGGGAATGGATGTGTAGCTCCACCATTATTGATCTCGTCACTAGATGGAGATGAGTGGTCAGCTTCACACTCTTCTCGCTTTACCCCATGCGAAAGAGCCCCTGGTAAACAACGGATAGGAGGCTGGGTGACTTCCAGAGCTTGTATGGACGCTATGGAGGACAGAAGAATCTGCCCCCTGCTGAGAATCGAACACCGGCCGTCGCCCTACCGCCTTAACTACCCCTGCTAACTTGTAGTGTGTGAGGGGAAACGTTGGAGACTCCAAGAAACATGATTCAGTGTGACTATAACAAATTCTTACATGAGTCGATGGGTCGCCGTTCCTTTTATCACTTCGTGAAATGTCTATGCACTGATAGGACCAATTCTACTGTAAAATTACTCAACGTTATCCAAGGGCAACTATTGTTGACAGCTACAAAGATAAGTCGGACGTATCAACTGAGGTACCTGACTTAGTATGAGTAAGAGAGTGGGCACTTACCTGCGAGGCAGAAGGGGCAAATGATTGCCGAAAAGCCAAAGGCGCCTCTCACCGAGCCATTTCTCCATGCATGCGGCCAACTACTTACTGACTGAGCTGCATGAAAGCACACCGCTTTCCTTGCGATTAATCGATTCTGAACGCGAGGCAGGTGCGCCTGAATTGATCTTCCACCAATCAAAGTACAGAACTTCATGATTTTCCTTACTCTCAGTTGGAAAGAAATAATAATTTGATATCAGTTGCATTAATTGCCTTTAAGAACATGGATTTTCAAATGGAAAGAATAAATTGAAAATTGAAAAAAAAAGTGTTTAGTGAAATAAAAATTATTTACGGGAGGTTTTCTGGAATGTGACATGTAGTCTTGTAAAGGTTTGCCGATGTTTCCGATGAATGTGATATCTCCATTTTCAAGGTAATATGTACCAGACTACACATCATCACATCCCAGAACACAGCTGTCTTCATATTTACCGGTGTGAGAAATAAATGTCTTTCCTGCTAAAATATTAACATCTTCAAAGCAGAAAGAAAAAGAAACGAAACTTTAAGCTCTTGGTTTCCAAAAATACATACATGTCAAAAAAAAAGGTAAAGTTGCTCCTGTGTCTAATTAATTAAACACTACACCATGAAGGCGTATGAGGGAGTGATTGTATAGATAGCGTAGTCGGTATAGTAACTGACTACGGGCTGGACGAATTAGGGGTCGGAATTCGAGTCCTTGTAGGGTCAAGAATTGTCTCTTCTCCACATAGACTAGCTTTGAGGTCCTCCCAGCCTCCTGTCCAATAGGTACCTGGGCTTTTTCCCCAGGTGTCAAGCGGCCGGGGCATGAAGCTAATAACTCACATCCAACTAGCGCCGAGATCAAGAAAATATTGATCTATACATCTATGTGCTGGAACTGAAGATAAAATTCTCGTAGAACGAAATCTACTGCTAAATGTCCCGTACTGTTTTTAGCGCTGCAATACATAGAGAAACTCGATGTGGAGGCCCTCAGAGTCGTAATATGTGACTTCAGAGTCTCTTGCGAGTCATTAGTTAAGCGATTATGTTGCTGTGAAGTGAATTTGTTCTGTAATGGGTACAATTAGCACAGCTATGCAGTACGAACTGACAAGTAAAATTTATACCATAACATAATGTTTCTAAACTTTTGTTTCTTGAAAACATATTAAAAAAAATAAGGTTTCTATATTCTAGGACTTAACAACCGGATAGAAGTTAACCGACATTTCGGAGGAATTGACTATTTCCGTCTTCAGGGCTTAAGGTTAAACTGAGGAGACTAGCACCAAAAATAATCTCACATTCCAGTATTTGTTATCCGTAAGAATCGCACATTTTTCACCCTGATAGCTTGCATGTTTTGGTTGAAATCTACATGCTGTGTATTTGTAGTTCTCTCCGGTATATACACACAATGAACCGCGCCATAACTCAAGCAGTTAGTCGCTGGCTTCCCACCGCGGCGTCCCGGGTTCCATCCCGGGTCTGATCAAGTGGGATTCGTGGTGGACAAAGTGGCGCTAGGGTAAATTTTCTCCGAGTACTTCGGTTTCCCCTGCCAATCTTCATTCCAACAATTGCTCCACAATCACCCTCGCCTAACATCTGGGGCTGGTACAATAGGCCAGAAGTGGCCGCAGTACAAGGGACTTAGTCCCACCCCACTAGCAATAAAAAAAGAATATACACGATGAAGCGTTCCGTTCTTTAAGCCACGCATACAAATTATCCACGATAAACCATGCGCATTCTACTTCTATTTCCACTCTCTTAAGTGCAAATATTCTCCTCTGAACTTTATCATCAATCATTGTTCATTTATGTCCTTAACTTAGGCTGAAAGATCAAGTTTCATATTCATACAAAACACCATGCAAAATTATGAAACTAGTTAAGATGTAAAAGTTTGTGACTAATTTACATGTACAAACACCGTGTTTCTGGACATTCTCCGTCTTCCTGTTTTCACCAAAAGCACTGGATTCTGTCTCCGTCTTCAGATAAAGTCTACTCAGTTGGGCCCAACCGATAGAGCTACTCCTTATCTCCAGGGAATCCAATATTCGTAACTTTGTGTTTTGAAATACAAACAGGAAGTTGGAGAATGTCCAGAAATATTATATTTGTGTAGTAATAGTCGCTATCATCATAATCGTCACAATAAAATAAATCTATCCCTGTAACAGGCCATGGAGGCCCATAAGATTATGAGACGTCGAGGCTCCCACATTTTCTAGACAATCGGCTCATAGATGGCGGTTAAGTTGTCAGCCTTACACGCCGGCCGCCCTTTACCCCCAGGAAGATTCCTGGTACTCATTTCTGTTAGAGGCTGAGTTGACCCCAGGGCCATAGTGTGGCTGGAAGTATTAGGTAAATTGAGACAATTCGGTGATCTCATCGGTAATTGAACCCACGACCTCCCGGCTTGTAGCATAGTGTCTCAAGCAACTACGGTACCGCGTGTCCCTTCATTTTAATACATTCTTCCAATATGCGTTTAGGTTTCCGAAGTATTCTCTTCCCTTCAGAGTTTCGAGTAATAAGTTATACGTATTTCTTATAGTTGGAGTACGTACTATGTTCCCAGCCAATCACACAATCTTAGATATGATCAGCCTATTAATATTTCATGAAATTTGAAAGAACTTTAATATAAAATTATGGATAAAATATTTCACCTGAAATAGGACGACAAACTAAAGAACGTGTAAAATAACAAAAGATTAATCTTGTGCTGTCATAAAATAAGGGGGATGCGATCGTTAGAATGTAAGACAGATAAGGGCAACAAGAATATTTTTGGAATTCTAGTGAAGAACCCCACCAGGGAAACAGATACTGAGATAAGAGTGCAATATATCATAGCGAAGTACATTGTTGTGACAAGAATATGATTATGTTAGTTTATTCACTTTTATTCTAGAGATTTCGATATTTTGTTGCAGTAGGGCTATCGGACAGACGACTGCAATGATGGGACCCAGGAGTACCTGACCATATGCGGACGTTTTCTTAAAAAAAAATTGAAAAGTTCTGAAGCCTGAGCCACCCGGTAGTATCAAATAAATCGTAAGGTCAATGTTGACCTTATTATATTAGTTATACCAACATAGATTCATGCGACATTCTTGCATTGAATCGTTCTGCTATGGAGTGCGGAATTTACTTTTTATAAATAGTAAAGTTTTTTAGGTACAACAATTTACACAATAATTATGGATCTTTCTGGAATATGTTAATATATTCTTTTATTTACTAAATTCCACAATAATGGTAGAAAACTGTACACAAACAATGCACGAAATGGCACGCTTTCTTTACTGTTTTGCTGTCAGATGAGTATTAAACATGTAATCATTTTTATATTTTATTATTGGTGGCTGTTTTGAAAGTAATTCCTGAGCTGTGCACTGGTATTTACATAAGAAGTTCGTAAATAGAATAGTTATTACAGTCTACAATAAATGATTTGTCATTGCAGGAACCTTCTTCTGTTATGGTAACCTTATTTGTAATTAATTCTATATTGTTCTGAACATTTGAGGATATAAATTTTTGCTAAATCTATTATTCCTCAAAGAGGGATGTAGGAGACCATTATGATGGCTAGGCGTCAACTGATTATCTTCCCTTATATTGTAATTGTTACATTTTTACACAACAAAAATACAGGCATGTTTTAACAGGAATATTTCCTACATTTATTTTATGTGTTATAAAATAATCACATTATTCCGGGTTACCATTGCAGTTTGTATGCTTATTTTAATTAACTTCTGAGTTAGGCACAGCAAGAGAAGAGTATTACATGTACTCAACCCAAACACCGTACAGAACAAGAATTCGTTAATTTACGAAGAGTTCTCTGGATATTTGGAAGATATGTAAATATACCATTAATCCTTAATACAGACGTTGTCTAGAGCAAGAACTGAACCACTCCCAATGGCAGTGGTTTCATAAATAGGCTATACGCGAATGAATACTTGTTATTAATATTTATTAAAATAATTTCATTAACTTGACAAAAAGTCTTTCATATTTAAATCTCTTCACATGGTCATTTACCTAAGCGTCAAATTTGTATGTAATTACTTAAAATTATGCTAAATTTGTAATAATTTTAACGGATATCATTACGAAACCAATGGAAGGGCTATGATGAACATACTGAAACGAGTTTATGTATTCTGAGGAAATTAATTTTGGAACAGGTACTGAATAGAGAAGATATTTCCCGACACCACGGTGCCAAAGTGAGTGCGCCTCTTTAAATAAATTTGAACGAATAGGGGATGTATATGAAGTAAATAAAACAGCAATGTATTAAGAAGGCTCTGTTTCTATCTGAACTTTTGCATTCATTAGACTTGCTTATAACTCTAATACAACTTGCTTAGAGCATTTAACTGTATTTGACTAAAGATATTTGAAGAGGATAGCTAAAATATTTGAAGAATTACTTAAAAACTTGGAGTACGTTATATCCTAAATAGTGTAGATACAGGTATATTAAAAAAGGTGTATAAAAGATTTATAATAAAACTCAATTTAAATACAAAATAGATTGTATTCTCTTAACGTCTTTAAGCGTGATATGTTTCTATCTCGGAGTGGCTAATGAATTTCGTGGTGTAGATCAGTTAATCTTGCGGTTCCCGTCTATTCGAGCTGCACTGCTCCTAGGTATTTACAGTTACATAGGTAATGTACCAACTTAGTTGTATAGTATTATGACGCTAATAATTATCAAACACAGTTATACAATATTTATGTGTCAATAACACTGAAACGTATAAGCTGTTATCGTGAAGTTTAATACATTAAATTGTTTCACGAGTATATTAGTTAGGGCGGAATTCTCACTTAACAAAAGTATTCTCTGCTGTTTGTAAGGCAGCCTTGGTGGAGTAACTCTGAATTCTGTATCATGTGTCCAGCCCTCAGAATATCAGTTTTTCAGGGTGTGTCAGAGCAGTTTGGATTGATACAAATTCTTTTTCTTTTTCTTTATACTCTCAAAACATAAATAGGATTTATTATGATTTACACAAACGTTCTATTTACCAAAATATGAACCTACAACAAATACTTATGAATAATTAATCGGCTGTGAAATAAAATGAGTATATTTATATGTAATAATAGCATTCCTGTCCTGTTTGATCTTCAAAGGGTTTAAAGCATTTTCCTGACTTTGCCATTCATAATGACTACAGCTGCTGGTTGTTCCAGTTATGACTGGAAGGAATTTGTTAAACTTCAAATACACATTGCCACAGTGCAAAGTTTCTTATGAAGGTAAAGGGGATATATACTTAATTTGGGGCACCTAACTGACAGATACATTATTGCTGACAACACAAACACACAACTAGTATTAAAACATACTTTCTACATACATTTTTAACATAATACAAATTATTCATTATATTTTCTGTATGTGATAACACCTGCAAGAAAAACTAAAGATGTGTATTTTTAAAAGGACAATAATTGTCACGTAAAATCTTTACAACATGTAATCTGAATCTATTTTGCATGCCAAATCTTGTTCATGTTTTGACATTAACAAAACTTTTTCATCAATAAATATCCCTTTAAAGTAGGTATTGATAGCAGTCCACGATTTAAAAACATATTCTTAATCAGCAGAATCATAGTTGTTTTATATTATTGTAAAAGGTCCACCTTATCTGGCAATCTTACACTACAATTTTATATCGACGAAGAATGTCATGATTTTCTACAGACCAGATCCACTACCTATACAAAAACTTCATATCAAAAATGTATAAAATATCTGTGATCTAGTTTCCTTTCTTTTATGCAGTGACAAACGTACTGATCTTCAGAAATAGAGTAGGCATCTATTTTTAACCCATTATCATAGACTTCATTCTACAATACAATACTTAGTGTACATTGTTTTTCTGATAATAAATCAGAGTTTCCACACACGTCTTACAACACTACTCAACACTATAGAAATAGAACAGAATGTAGTTTATAAAATAGAGACCAAATTATGTCGTAGATCTTTCAGGTTAGAAATAGGCTACTTCTGCATTAAAATATAATTTTATGACAGTGCAATATGCACAATTATAATTTTCTTTGTGGTATATAAAATGAGATAAGGGCAAATCTTAACATAAACTGTAGATATCGCTTTGTTATGTTACATTCTTCTTATCCCGCCTAAACAAGGGAAGGGATGGATGGATATTGTATAAACTTGGGAGTCCCTTAAATTGTTGCCTCTGATGCTGACTTCCTTGCACCTCTGGAAGACTTCTAACCGGATATAGCCACAAGTGGGAATGGTATAGAGACACAGAGGTAGCTGAACGTCCTGCTGGACAGTCTAGCGAAACTGAGCGAAACATTGCACACTTTGTGGGTCCACTACGGCTGCTCCACTCTTTTTGTCCCCGAGCCTCCATTTGCTGCGGACGCTGGGTCGATATCAGAGGTCTGCAAACAAGGAAGCAAGTGGTTTACTATAATGAAATTACAAAGCTAATCAGCCAAACCTACTGTATTACTATAGGTCTGTGTTAGGGTTACCTTAATAATTAAAAAATGGTATATTTCCGTTTTTCTTCTAAACACCTGGGCATTAGTAAAAACGGACATGTTAAAAATTAATAAAAACAAAAAATTAATAATATATTAAACACTGAGAATGACATTGGTGATTATTCCTTCGTATTTTATTTGTGAACTTGTAAATTTATCGTTCAAAAGTGTCCTCACGATAGTGGTTGTGCAGTCCATGGATTTGAAGCTGTGGTTATGCATTGCAGTATCATATATAAAGGTTCCTTCCTGTGCTAATTGCAATAACTGCTTTTGCATTTCACTAATATTCTTCATGCTAAAGTAGTCACTTACGCTGTTACTGGAAGCTTGTTTTTAATATGCAGATTATGTTGTCTTTTTTTTCTATTTTCACGTGATTGACCACGTCTGATCGACCACTTTGTTCAATTCAAAATTTCGCGTTGCCTAACATGCATTCAGCATTCTGATTCACATCGTAATAAATGGATATTCGCTCTTAATACTGTCATTAATACTGCATTTGCGTTCTGCCATCACTATATGGATGAAAACCGATATCACAGGACCTCACGACATGACATAACGGTAGACAAACACTGCAGCGAACGATACAAATGGAACTTCCGTTATAGTAGCGAATCAAATAATACCAACATAATTGGAAAAGAAAGCTACATATTGCCAATAGAAAAATTAATAATTTGTGAAATTTTGTTTCGTGGATTAACCACTAGGAGTGTTAACATCGTCATAGAAATACCAATTTCAACGAATAGCATCCGTTATAGAGCCGTTAACGATAGAAATTAATGTTATAGAAGAGAACTTCAAAAACGGGACACTTGAAATAAATTTGGGACAGCGGGACATTAAATGAAAAAGCGGGAAGAAAGGGAAACCTAGTTTATGCAAAATTTCTTTTATTGCCTTGTCTGGTGGGTCGATAAGATTGTGCTCTGTAGCAATGTTACTTAGTTGGTTGTCCGCGGCGTAATTCACGACGGCCCGTAAATTCCAGTTTGTGTTTTTATAAGATATGGATTTCATTTTCACAACTAGCGACACTTTTCATATTTCCTTCCGCTTTAACGATTGAATAACTGCGTTAAACTTTACATTCATTCCTTTTCTGTCTAGCCATGATAAATTTACATCTTTGGAAAGTATTCTGTGGGATTCTCGAAGGACACCGCGCTATTAGCAGCGGCAAGGCCATCTCTAAAGTTTATGGAAATAAATTAATTCATGTGCATAAAATATGTGGTCATTTTAGTGCGAAAGTGACAGTTACAGGTTAAATACGAATAATAACGAAATTCGTTACGCTAGATGTGGAAAATTTTAGCAAAAGGTCTTCATGTCGGTTTTTCTGAAGACTGATACATATGCTGCATACTCTCATGACAGTTTCATCATCTAAATCATTTCGTTTCTCCGATTTCTGAGGATGAAGTGACTAATTTCATTTCGTGATCTTTTTTTTTTACGACAGCCTCTGCGGTCTAGTGGTCGGGGTTCCTGGTTACAGATCCAGAGGTCCCGGTTCACTAAGCTCGTGAGGATAATTGAGGAACTATTTTAAGGAAATAGAGGCTCAGGTCTAGAAAACCGAAATTAACGGCAGTGGGGATCCGTTACGCTTACCACGCAGCACCCTCTATCCGCAAACGTTGGCACTAACTTCGCCGACAAGAGGCGGTCGCTCAGTCGATATAGTTCGCTTGCGGATTATAGGCCACGGAGTTTGTTTAGTTTTTGATCTTTTATTACTATCTGTAACATACATCGCGTTTCATGAATAGGATCTCCTCTAGTCTGCAGGTGGTGGGATATTATTATTATAAACCTACATCGTTGCGTGATGAAACCTGTATTTTATTTTTCTTGAATATGAGACAATTATTATTTTGCCACGATGCTACATCCTAGCTTCTCCGTGTTAACAACCACAAAAGAATCCTAAAGTAGGCCCGAGAGGTGAACTTCCTTTGCATGCTAAAACCGATCTAGTCCGATGTTTGACGAAAATACCCGAAGTAATCTGTCGGCGTGAGTCAAGGTTGTTTCCGCCACAAGTTCAGTCTGTTTCGTGGCAGATGTACGGATTAAATGGAGGCTGAGACGTGACAGCGGTTTTTGAAATGTCATTGTTTTCCCATCTACATTCACCTGTGATACAGCACAATAACACAATATGTTCATTCAAGTATTCTTTGAAAAATGTTGACGAAAACTGGTTATCTGTCCGACAGAAACAGTGTGAAACCAAAGTGTCAGAATTAAAACACTATTTAAAGAATATTTTTAAAACTTCAGTGACAGCTGGGCGTGTGCATTTGCGTAGCAAATACCGAGTGAAAGACTACAGAGACAGACTCGATCGTGTCCCTCCGTGTCCTCGGATAAAGAAGTTAAAGCTGTTAAAGATTGCAGTCGTTATATCAACTGGTATATATGTTGGTGACGCTATAGGCAAGTCATTTCAAGACGCTATATTGTCATTAAGGGACGAGCTATGGTATCCTTACGAAGAGTAGCTCAAAAGAAGTTGCAATTAAATGAAACTGATAAACGTGAACCGAGTTCATTTTACAGATTTACATTTCCAAACCTTCCTTTATTTCCCCCAAATACAAGAAAGTGTGTTAGACGGTGACTAAAACATGTGTTCGCATCCGCCCATAATATCACGAGGACATGAGTAATAAGATGGCGGCGTTAGATAGTCTCTTGTTTTTCTCGTAATGGCCTTGGTACTGTGAACATAACGTACTGATCAGCTGTTCAGTATTCTCAGATAAACGGCCTCTGTTAAATCTGTAACATATTACTGAAGTAAAATTTCGGTTTCTTATGTTACTAAATGTTTTGACGTGTCGCCATTGTCTTTAAGACGGGCCAATAGAAACCAGCTATTAATTCAAATTCAGTGGTTAGTAAAACTAAACGCAGAGTCATACACAGCGAAAAAAAGGACAGCATAAAAAACCCCTACTGTTTTAAATAATGTGAAATGAACTNTAGTCACCGTCGTGAAAGCCTCAAATCTTACGAACTAGAAAGTTACTTGGCTTGTGGCTTTGTACTAAATGTACAATATTTTAAAATGAAGTAGCAGGAATAAAGCTAAAAGATTCGTTTAAATTAAATACATATAAATTTTAGTAGATAAAGTATTTTATAGACAGTGTAACGTAACTTCGGACAAGGCCCCGCATTCCTAGTCAAATCCTGCGCATTGCTTGTGTTGGGAGGAGTTTCTTAACACTCGTTCTTCCATTTTCACCGAACCCTCGTGTTTAATTGAAACCACCCTATTCTGTTTTCGAAGAACATATTATAATAATACAAATATATTGTCACTCGTAATGCAAAGGAAAATACGTACAATTTAGCGCACAAGGAAACTGACGTTTTTAAACACATGATAGAAAAACCGTAAGTATAACCTGCTTCGAGGGTGCATTACAAACGACTGGCCGTCTGTCACTTCTCACACCCTCGAACCCACCTCCTCCCTTGTCTGAAATTCTTTTTCTGCGCATTCAAGGTTACTCTTGGCCTTGTTCGAAGTTACGTGACACTTGCTTTAAGTGTAAGCACATTACACAGAGTCTTGACTGAGATTCATGCTTTATATTGACTTTCCAATATGAAACTGAACAGAAACATTAAAATCTGAAAGGATAGTCCACCGAAAATGAAATAGTTTGTCACCTAATTTTGACGGTTACAAGTCGAAAAATGTATTGACGTCTGAACTAATATAAAGCACATGTGCTACACTGTGTATCAGTAACATTTCAAGGACGTAATGGCACTAATGAGCAAAATTATGAATATTAGGGGGCTCATATCTGTTATCTTGTAAGGATAAAAAGTAAAATTTATTTTACACTTCACTTATTTAAATTTCTGTGCCTCTCTTGAATCAGATGAACGCCACAAGAAATAGTTATGATTTGTATATAAACTGCATAACGTGCGGGTCCAGAATTATGTGTAAACAACGTGGCATTGAAAGCTACTGACCCTTTATTTTGTTTCTTGTTACTAAGGTTGAAGCCTCCATAAAGAGAAATATAATCCATATATTTTATTGAGGTATTTGTTTCTCTAAGGTCACGAAAAGTTAGTTTGTATTTTTAGTTATCACAATGCATATGAAGAAGAACAAAAACAACAACAAAGGATTGTCATAACCTAAAATTGTTGTTACTGAGAGGGGCTTCCACTTTTTGCGTGCACCTGGCCCCTCACAAGTGTAAAATTAGGCTCAAATATGGGGTACTGACTATTAGTTAAAGTGTCGCGAAGTCGGGTTTATTAGGGGGCAGTGGTCTCAGCCACAACAAAATAAGAATGAAGAACAGAGGTTCTCATTAGATTTACTGGAAGTTAGAGCCCTATAAGAGTTACTTAACAATGTGAATCTTATGTGAAGATAAGCCCTGTGTGTAGTAGTGAAGTTCACGAGGCTCCTTTGACGAAGGGCATATTTCCTTTCCAAATGATGGGAAACCTTTTTCATTTCGTAACTCTGCAAGGTGAAATTGTTGAATTGCATCACCATTTAGAAACAGAATCTACTTATACTGTATTTTCCCCCTTATTGTCCGTTATTATTGCACTATTTTGAGTAGGATAGAATTGCATATTTACATAATATGTTTATATAGGCATTAACTTACGTTATTAAGGAACTTTGTTTGTTTTACAACGAAACATAGCCCTAAAATGTCATATCTTTATGTATGTCCACCTACTAAATTTATGAAGTATTTAAAATATCCTGATGAAACTGAGTAGGAACTAAATCATGTGGAAAGCATCACATGACTGTACTTCGTAATTTCCTATCATCGATATTACCAACATGGCGACTGCTCGAAAATCTCGAAAGACTGGAGTAACACTAGTAGAAATTAATTCAAGATCCGGAAATGTTACGTTCCACGGATCTTCTAAAAACATACAAATTTGTCCTCATCATATTTCTGAAGAACGTAATTAACAGTATGACGACTGGACGAAATCTGCATCAAACTCTCAGTTTGAAAGCAATAATTGATGAACTATTACAACTAGGCCCATGAAATCTTATATGGAGATAGACGATGAATACATCGACATGAATTTTAACGCGAGACATTTTAGCTTTTCCACTTATATTAATCCTGGAATTAAAATTTATCCAGTACAAATATCTTCAACGTAAATAATCAAATTATGTGTATGACCTTACATGTTTCGGCACTTAGAGGCCATCTTCAGAGGATCAACAGTAATGAATGGCTTGTCATTCCAATATTTACATGAAATTTTATGGATTAAAAAATGTATTAAAACTTTGAAATTGTATTCAATAACTTTCATTTAGACCGTTCCAGAGTTAAAGTTGTTTTCTCAATATGGAGAGATTGGTTCAAACCGATGCAACTTCATGTGAAATTGATGGTGGACGAAGTGGAAGTGGGACAGAATTTTCGCTATCTTCGGTTTCCCCCCTGCCAATCATCATTATTTATTATCACCACTGGGGGTGTGAGATAGCCCCCACCGGACAGTATATTATTAGACGGGCAGCTGTTAAGTTAAGGCTTCATGTCTGACCCGAAATTTGGTTGGCTACTCAGTAAAGAAGCCAAGTTGTAATCTTCAGGAAGTGCGAATGGATTAACAGCTCTCGGAAATTCTGGGCAGAAAGTCTTAACAAATTTTTGAACTCTGTAAACAACCTGAGATACACTCCCTGGTCCTACTGACCATCTCATTATCTACTAACTTGCCTACTTAAGTTATATACATACAGCAAATGTAGTTACCTAGTTAAGTACTTGATTTAACCATTTTCTATAATGTAAAAGGGAAGGTTATTTTATGTTAGAAAATTAATATATTTCTTTAGAATTTTATTCCCAGAACTATTTTCAATATTTTTGCACGAGATATTTGAACATATAAAATAGTTTTGTAAATAAATATCAAAGTAAAAATTCTGGTTGAAAATTCATACAAAGAAAAGTATGAGTTTCGGATCCCAAAAATTACATTGAACAAAAACTTCTGTGGGAGGTCCACAAAATATTTGCCGGCCAAACCTGTTCCGTGTGAAATACTGATTCATGTAGACTAAAGCAAAGATTTCACAATTTTATTCTCACACAAAATGTTATGACAATTCCTCAAGATAATTCTTGAGGAATTATCTAACCTAAATGGTTACACCCTTGTTTCTTATTGGGGAGGTATGTGGGTTCGAGTCCGAATATCTTGCCTGAGGTTTTCGTGATTTTCTTCCATCTCTCAAGGGAGATTCTGGGATAAAGGGTAAGGTAAAAGTAAAGGTATCCCTGTAACAGGCCGTGGAGGCCCATAGGGTTATGAGATGTTGAGGGTCCCACATTTTCTAGACAATCGGCTCACAGATTGTGGTAAGGTTGTCAGCCCTACGCGCCGGCCGCCCTTTACCCCAAAGAACAATCCTGGTTCTCATTTCTGTAAGAGGCTGAGTCGACCGCAGGGTCATAGTGCGGCTGGATGGATTAGGTAAATTGATAAAATTCAATGATCTCATCGGAACTTGAACCCGCGACCTTCCGGCTTGTAGCATTGTGCCTCACCCAACTAAGATACCGCGTGCCCCCCGAGATTCTGGAATAGGGGACTCAAATTACTGGGTATTAAGAAAAATATGGAAATGTGAGTTGAGACATTTTATGTTTTTCTGGTATCAACTGTGATTACTCTTTTTATTAATGTTACAGTATTCATGAATGTCACGCCATGTTGTCGGGTAAATGATTACCAGTCTTTCGGAGGGACATGCTGCCCTCCTGCAAATAGAACCGGCTGGTTCTTCCGAAACATTTGTACTCACTACCAAACTACGGCATCAAACCATAGATAAGCATGTGTTGCTTCCACAGTGAGAATACCTTATTTAATGTTATTAATTTCTACGCTGAACTTCACTCTGGAACGGGCACATCTTTGTTTGAATGCAGTATCCACTTAATGCAGGCAATTTCCGTTGATAAGGGGCCACAAATAATTTAAAATAGCGTAGAAATGAAGAAGATTTTCTTTTTAAATTTGTATTGCCATAAGTAATATTCCTGAATTATACGAGTATATCTCTTTCCATGCCTATATTACTCAAACTAAAAAATATATATATTTTTTTATATTTCTATGGTAACTCGATACTTATATTGTCGAAATGACATTCATATGAAACTCTGAAAGACAGTAAGAAAGCTTTAATGAGGGCCGCGTCATAACTCAAGCGGTTAGTCGCGGGCTTCCCACCGCGGCGGCCCGGGTTCGATCCCGGGTCTGGTCAAGTGAGATTTGTGGTGGACAAAGTGGCGCTGGGGCAGGTTTTCTCCGAGTACTTCGGTTTCCTCTGCCAATCTTCATTCCACCAATTGCTCCACAATCACCCTCACCTATCATCTGAGGCTAGTACAATAGGCCAGAAGTGGCCGCAGTACAAGGGACTTAGTCCCACCCCACTAGCAATAAAAGAAAGGTTTAATGATATTTTTAAACAATGAACATATTTAAACTAAAAAACGAATTTTTAAAAGAGATAACTTAGCTTTAACATATATACCTAATCAAATTTAAACAGATTCAAATTATACTCTAACATTGCTAATGGAATTGCGCTTCTTCATTTCAGTATTGTTTCATAAAAAGGTACAATTAAATATAAGCTATTTCATGGGAGAAAATTACAAGGTCTCATTCACAGTGATGGCATAGACAAACTGTTAGAGGCTTGAAGTGTCTTCCCATGGATTTTTCGCACTGACATTTACTGTTATCGGGTCCATGTATAGAAAATATACGAGTCTAAAGTTTCGGCCACACAGAGCGCTACGTACGCGACGCACGCTACCTACGCCATGTTCGCTATACGAACAGAAAAATATCTCCCTTTATTGCCAATGTGACTGGCCATACAGACTTCCATACGCTACGTACGCTATGTTCCCTATGTCTCAGAGTGTTCACAGCGTACGTAGCGTAGCGCTCTGTGTGGCCGAACCATTAATATCGGTTGTGAAATATTAAAATACTAGTTGGCCTTCGTTGCAATGTAAGGTCACTGCGCGGTTTGTCAAAACTGGTTCTTCCAGACACCAGGATCTTTGCAAATCTCTGCAGACGCCATTTGCCCGATTATCTTACGTTACAGAACGCCTGAAAAAGCAAATATATAAAAAGGTAAAGGTATCCCTGTAACAGGCCATGGAGGTCCATAGGATTGTGAGATGTTGAGGTTCCCAAATTTTCTAGGCAATTGGCTCACAGATGGAGGCGAAATTATCAGTTTTACGCTCCGGCTGCCCTATACCCCCAGAAAGATTCATGGTACTCATTTATGTTAGTGGCTGATTCGACCCCAGAACCATAGTACGACTGGAAGGATTAAGCCAATTGAAAAATCAAATGACATCCGGATTCATACCCGCGACCTTCCGGCTTGTAGGGTAGTGCCTCAACCAATTAGGCTGCCGCGTACCCCCCAAGCAGAGATATATATTTTTAGAAACAAATTATATCTCTAGAACTGAAAAAGACACAAAAGGAATATATGAATATGAAAGAAGCTGCACAAAACCACGAAGAATACACTTAGTGGGTTCCTTTACTTCAGATTAGAGTTCATCTTCTATTAATAGTAAAGATTATATTGATTGGATAATGAGGAGGTAGTCTGGATTTGTTTCTATGGGATTTGAAAAATTTCCAGTGCAAATTTTTTATGACGGCAAGGCTTCGTTGAAGTGAGAATGTGGTAACCACATTTCTGTGTTGGATTTTAGGTTCTGATGAAGATTACTGTGAAGTGTGCAGCCTTCTGGAATGTTCAAATGCTTCTTGCATGTTTTTAATTGCTTGTTTGGCTTGCTCTTCAAATCTGAAGGAGGTGGCAATAGGTTCTTCCAAAATGGTGGTCTATTTCTGCCAGGCTACATCGGGCTATATCTCGGAAAATAGCATTCTTCGTGAGGAATTCCATCTTCCGGGATATAATGTCACGTATTCCGTTAAAATTTATGTCGTTATATACCAGAATATAGAACACTTCATAACCACCGCTGTGAGAACCCAAAATCCTACACAGAATTCACTCTCACTCACTCACTCGCTCATGGAGCTGAGCCATTCTTGAGAAGCTGCCAATTGTGCAGCTACTCAAGAACTTCCCAGAATTTTATGGGACCCGAAGGTTCATTGCCGTGTTCACAAGAGCCCTACACTAGTACCTATCCCGAGCCAGATCAATCCAATCCATACCATTCCATCCTATGTCTCTGAGATCCTTTTTAATATTGTCCATCCAACTACGCCTTGGTCTTCCTAGTGGTCTCCTTCCTTCTGGCTTTCCCACTAATAACCTGTATGCATTTCTCCTCTCTTCCATTCGTGCTACATGCCCTGCACACCTCCTCCTACTTCACTTCATCATTCTAATTATACTTGGAGAAGCGTATAAGTTATGAACCTCCTGTCACTTCATCTCTCTTCGGTCCAAATATTCTCCTCAACACTTTGTTCTCCAAACACCCTCAGTCCATGTTCCTCCCTTAATGTCAGGGACCAAGTTTCATACCCATACAGAACAACAGGCAGAATTATATTATTCTCCGTGGTTCTGTGAACTTAGAAGTTCTACATTTAGCGGCACTGAAGTAAATCAATTGCTAACTCTGCAGTAGTAGAACTCCAAGTTTATTGTAAGAGTCGAGTGAGATTTGGGTCGGGTCTCTCTCGAACTCCAAGCAGACTAGAGGAGCAATTTTATCAAAATTTTCAGTCATCACGAAACTGATGTAGCCCTGTCTATGCCATTACCGTGAACGTAACTTAAGAAACTATGACAGTGGCGTACCCATAGTCTCTTGCTGGATTTCTACCTTGTAAGACGGATTGTCGTAGGCTGACTGACTCTTGCGGGTCGTTGAGATTGCCGCTTTATTGTGGCCATGCTTCCTCATGAGGATGAGTAACAGGATGAGAGTGGCCACGATGGCCAAGGCTGCGATGATGGCCACTGCCACCAGTGGCCCGTAATAGTCTGCTGTCTCCACTAAGGGCTCTGGGTCCACGCCCTTCAACTTCCCTGAAACAATCAGTACAAGACGTTGAAAACGTGTTTACGTACAAGCACACTCTAACTGGTAATGTGGTAACCAGTCAAGAGCGCATAAGAATACACGTAATAATACAGTATTTTTTATTGTTAATGGGGTGGGACTAAGTCCCTCATACTGCGACCACTTCTGGCCTATTGTACCAGCCCCAGATGATAGGTGAGGGTGATTGTGGAGCAATTGGTGGAATGAAGATTGGCAGAGGAAACCGAAGTACTCGGAGAAAACCTGCCCCAGCGCCACTTTGTCCACCACAAATCCCACTTGACCAGACCCCGGGATCGAACCCGGGCCGCCGCGGTGGGAAGCCAGCGACTAACCGCTTGAGCTATAGCGCTGCCAACTTTAATGTATGTAAGATTTGAGGCTTTCACGGCGGTGACTATGAAGAAAGCAGTCTTCTGGGATTTGGCACCGTGTATATGTGGTGTTAACCGACGTTTCGGAGGAACGTATCGCCCCCATCTTCAGGGTTGAAGAAAAAGTATAAGTAAATCTGCAAGCGACAACACCGTGAGACACGGTAAAGCAGACTGAAGTCTGCTTGTCGCTTGCAGATTTACTTATACTTTTTCTTCAACACTGAAGATGGGGGCGATACGTTCCTCCGAAACGTCGGTTAACACCACATATACACGGTGCCAAATCCCAGAAGACTGCTTTCTTCAACTTTAATTTAAATTTATAGAAAAGAGTTAAGCTCTACTGAATGTTACACTAACAAGAAATTCTATTTACTGCCTTCGATTTCATATCAGACACGTACAAATTTAAGTTGAGTGTACTCGTACTATCTAAAGTGGTATATTTATAAGTCATCTAGTCCTCAAAATAAAAATCACGTAGCAAGCATTACTTTTTAAATAATTATGGAGAAACTAAACGATTATCTGAGTTTAAGTACCACGCCGTTAAGATGTACAACAGAAGGCGTGTAAGTAAAGATAAGTGTATTATTAACTACAACAATAGATGGATTAAATGGCTAGTTTCACGCATGGATCATAATATCCCTGGGGAAACAGCCCCCGGTACCCATTGAATAGAACGTCAGTTAGTTTAGTTTCTTAGGTTTGGGTGAGACTAGAGTCCACTTGGTACGTCGGCCAATAATTGGCCTATTGTACCAGCCTCGGATGGTAGATGATGATGATGAATGTGGAACAGTGGAGCAGCAGGTTACAGGCTTCCGTAATAACTGGACAGATTGGTTCGCCGGAAGTCCGAAATAAAGCGGCCTACTGGTGGAGTTAAACAAGTAAAATTGGGAAAGGTTTAGTGACTGACCTTGCTGTGTCGCTCCGACTGAGGAAACCGCTCCAGGTTTTGTCATAAAATCTTGTACATTAGATTTTTTAATCTTGCCGTTTGTAAGGTATACTTCTAACCAGAGCCGATACCTGAAAGAAATACAGAGTGTTGAAATATCAGTAAACAGAGCGAGTACACGTAGCAGGCCCCTTGCGCTACTTAACACATTAGGAACTGTCATAAAAAGCTCTTTTCGTCGAAGAAAAACATGAATAATAATAAACATTTAGTTATTTTTCTAGTAATCATCTATTTTTGTCAAAATGAATAATTTACACCTCATGCCCACTGCTGTAATAACTTCAGATACAGCGTACTTATATGTTGTTATTGTAGAATTTTCAATTACTTTTTAATTAAAATTTAATTATTTTTAGCTAAACCAAATTCCTTATGTTTTAGATATATAAATGCAATTTTTTACGTAATGTGCATACATTTATGTTCTCGCCGATGGTTATAAAATATTAGTGAACGTTACAGTTCTTCTATTAAAGGAAGTTGTATTAAAATAATTGCTTCAGCGTTCTGTAAAATATCTCCTTAATTTAAGTGCTCAGTTCCCGCATGAAAATTAGTGCACCGGACGACGCAGAAACTGATATATTAAATTAATATTAAAATTAAATTACGAAAATAGGAGGATATTGTCTCAATTCTTCGCATTATTTATGATTGTAGTGACTGACTGACTGACTGCTAAATTACCGCTGGTCCTTGCCAGAATAGTGATTCTCGGTTCTGAGCCCCACGGGGCCAGTCAACATACCTTACTCTCTGATGGCTCTGCGAGCCCCAGATTCTGCTGATGGTAATACCATATTGTGATCGCTTTAAATACCAATATTTGTCTAGCAACAAAATTGCTTTATGAAATATGAGAATGCACGTATATGGATGCTTGGAAATGGTGTAGGAAACGGAGAAACGCAGAAAGAAAACTGGAGTGAGTAAATAATTGTATATAATAGGGATAGACGTCAATTGATATAATTTACTTACTCACTTACTTACTTATATACTTACTCATGAAGCTGAGCCCTTCTTGAGGAGCCGACAATTCTACAGCTACTCAAGGATTTCCCAGCATTTTATGGAACCCGAAGGTTTATTGCCGTGTTCACAAGAGCCATCCACTGGTCCCTGTCCTGACACAGATCAATCCAGTCCATACCATCCCATCTTATCTCTCTAACATCCATTTTAATGTTGTCCACCCACCTACGCCGTGGTCAATTGATATAATTTAGGAAACTTAATTGAATGGAAGCTTATGTGACCACATTGGTGATTCTATATGGCATTGCAGGGCCTCACAGAATGTCTGAAAGTGTATAAATGAGACAGAAAATGTTTCAGTACCTTGTGCCGGGTTTCAGATCCTGAATGATCGTTCTAGCCTGTGAGTCCCTCTTTGCAACCTTGAAGGTACTGAAGTCCTCCTTGCCTGCATCGCTCTGATAAATAGCCCTGAAGATGTTGACATACTTGTCTTCAGGGTACGGTACCCCACTCCACGACAGTTCGACGGAAGTAGACTTTATGTGCTGCACATCCAGAGTGACATTGAACTTGTACAGGTCTGCAACAAAAATGAACCGAACTAACCCCATGCCAGCAGTCACTCACCTGCTCAGGAATTTCCAAAATTTTATGGCACCCGAATATTCATTAAACTGTTCACAAGATCCCACCACTGGGCCAGATTAATCCAGTCCCTACCGCCCCACCATTTTCTCTAAGATCTATTTTCAGAATAATTTCGTACCTATGTTTAGGTCTTCCTAGTGGCACTTTCTTTCTGGCTGTACCACCAGAATCCTGTATGCACTGTCTCTACTATGCATTCTGCATGCCTTGCCCACAGTATCCTCTTCGATTTGACCATTCTCATTGTATTTTGCGAATAGTACGTCACCTTATTCGTCAGTCAGTATAAACAATAAACTTCAATTTAACTTGGTGTTAGGATCTACGTTTGATGTAGAAAGGACAGTTTCAGGCTCCAGACGTCACTAATTGAGGGGAAAATAGTTACATAAAATGGACGGGTGAACTTATTCCTGGTTGCTATTTAAAATTTAGTGTTTTCAAAAGCAATAGTAAATGTGTAAGATAGGGCCGGGCCATAGCTCAAGCGGTCAGTCGCTGGCTTCCCACCGCGGCGGCCAGGTTCGATCCGGGGTCTGGTCAAGTGGGATTTGTGGTGGACAAAGTGGCGCTGGGGCAGGTTTTCTCCGAGTACTTCAGTTTCCCCTGTCAATCTTCATTCCACCAACTGCTCCCCAATCACCCTCACCTATCATCTGGGGCTGGTACAATAGGCCAGAATTGGCAGCAGTACAAGGGACTTAGTCCCATCTCACTAGCATTAAAAAAAATGTGTAAGATAGGTAAACCGAATAGTTTGCCAATTAGCACTACTATTTCGATTTCGGGACCTTTCGGGCCTGACTCACGGCCCGGAAGCCAAGTATTCTGTCTTACGAATTTCACAATTTTCTTAGAACCCCTTTCAAATTAATTCTATACATTTCTTAAAAATGTAGCCATTTTCTTCAATATTCTTCTGAATATATCGTTCATAGGAATTATTACATTCAAGGAGGCTGAAGGAACGATTACGAATAAACTAGATAACAAATAAACACATAGTAGATGTCCATCACGTGTAACAGTCCATAAAGTATTTTACGTAACCAACAACAGAAACGAAACCCCGTCATACATACATCTGTATACAGAACAATTTTTTCTAAATTATCTTAGCTCTTTTAATCAGTTACTCTTGATATTCAAAACTTACTTTCTTAAATATGCAGTCTCAATTTCTGCAACTACCCTTCTCTTTACTACATTATGTCAGCAACCTATGCTCAAACAACAAAGTATGTAAAGCGGTAATTTCTTTATAGTTTTGGCGATATCTCCTGGTGATGGCCAGTAATGGCCGAAACATGTAAAGTAAAGCTCGATTGCAATATGATGGCACTTGCACAGAAGAAAACTTGTGTGTGGGCGGAACTGACGAGTCTGTCTTACAGGAGATATGAGGGGTAGTACAGCCCACTTCGCTATTGGCATCTGCTTGCTGCGTTATGGGTGATATCGCATTAAGATGCCAACGGAAGGCCATAGCGCAGCTACCAGCATCTCGCCCAACTCAATGTATTAATTTAGTAGTCATATATCGCATCTGGCATCTGTCTGGCAGCGCTGCCAACCAAGATGCCAAGTGCTAATGCCGCTGGCATCTCTGCCAACCATGATGCCAAGTGCTAATGCTGCTGGCAGCGCTGCCAACCAAGATGCCAAGTGCTAATGCTGCTGGCAGCGTTGCCAACTAATATACCAAGTGCTAATGCTGCTGGCAGCGCTGCCAACCAAGATGCCAAGTGCTAATGCTGCTGGCATCGCTGTCACGAAGGCAAAGGCCAAATCAACATCACACGACAGTCTGAGGTCAGTCCATTGACGTCCTCTGGCAGCTGGACGCCATGGCATCGCTGTTGGTGTCGCTGCCATGGCATCCTAGTGCGACACCGGCCTATAGTTGCTCGTAATGGGCTTACTCACCCCGCTATCTTGTTTCCCGTTCAATTGCCCTCCTTCGTGCAGGTTTCTTCCATCACATAGTAATCGAACTCTAGAAAGTTTAGTTGCTGCTATTAAACTAGTTGCTTATGGGGATATATACTAATTATATATGTACCGAGATGTGTGACGATTCAAGGTGCTCGTTATAAAGATATGGAACACATACCGTGCACGTCAGCCGTTGTAAATTCGGTTGTGCGCTCAGCAGTTAGTTCAGTGCTTTGTCCAGGGAAAGGAATGAAGAAGATCCCCACTTCGTAATCCGTGTGTGGGCGCAGATCTTCCAGCGTGTAGCTTGTCACTGCTCGGTGAATCAGAGGGGTGGCTGCGTAAACCTGCAAAAGATCGGCCGGAGAATCTGCACTAAAAATGCTGAAGAGGCAACGCAGAATCGAGAGAGAGGCAGCAATTACACAGAAATATGTGATGAATAAATTGTCAATGAGCCAGGTTTAGGCAGCGTCTACACGATCGCACAAAATGCGTTCGTTGTAACTAAGTTCGTGACGTCCGTTGTAGAAATAAACAAGAGAGGCGAATGCTACGCTTTCTTCTGGCTCCATTGCAGAGAAAAAACTACGTACCGCATTCTGCATCTGTGTGGTGTCCTCAGCAAAGTCCGTTCGTTACAACGGACGCATTTTGTACGCTCGTGTAGACGCTGCCATAGCTTCGAATACTGCGGTTTTCCTTTGCCAAAGAACTTTCCCCTAATACTCCGTTCTCATTTATCACCTGGGCCAGGAAAAATGGGCCCATTTGCGGTTGCATAACAAAGGAACGCAGTAAGTAAAGAAAAAAGTAAAGGTTTCCTTGTAACAGGCCGTGGAGTCCCATAGGGTTGTGAGATGTTGAGGTTCCCACATTTTCTAGACAATCGGCTCACAGATGGCGGCAAGGTTGTCAGCCCTACGCGCCGAACGCCCCTTAGGCCCAGGAATAGTTTTGGTACTCATTTCTGTTAGAGGCTGAGTCGACCCCAGGGTCATAGTGACGCTGGAAATATTAGGTCAATTGAAAAAATCCAGTGACCTCATTGAGATTTGAACCCGCGACCTTCCGGCTTGTGGCATAATGCCTCAACCAACTACGCTATCAAAAGGAACGCAGTAAAACCTAAAAATAAAAAAACAACTAAGAAGGCGGCTAACGAACTCTTTACGCAACTACCTAGCAAAGTAAATAAATAACTTGAAAATAAGGCCATGGTCCTGGGTCTTAAGAAAATTTTAGCTGGTAAATAAGTTATCTTCCTTTTACGGAACTCAACGGCTCATTCCCAGTGTTCACAGCTGCCCACTACCGGACATTATCCTGAGTCAGTTGAAATCAGTCCGCACCCTCACGCCCTAGTCTTTTCCGTTCTGTTTCTCTGACTAGAGATGTTTACGGATTTATCGCGTCTCCCATACGTGCCACAAGTTATGCCTATCTTATCATCCATGACTTAATCATTCAATAATATTTGGTGAACAGTACAAATACAAGTACAAGTTAACCGAAAAGAGATGAAGTGACAGGAGGTTGGAGAAAACTGCAAAATGAGGAGATTCATAACTTGTACTCTTCTTCAAGCACAATTAGAATTATCAAATCAGGAGGATGAGATGGGCAAGAGATGTAGCACGATTTGGGGAGAAGAGGAATACATGTAGGATATTGGTGGGAAAACGAGATGGAAAGAGACCACCGGGAAGACCAAGGCGTAGGTGTATGGACAATATTAAAATGGATCTTAGAGAAATAAGATAAGATGATATGTATTTGATTGCTCTTACTCAGGATAGGGACCAGTAGAGGGGTCTTGTGAACACGGTAATGAGCCTTCGGGTTCCATGAAATGCTGGGAAGTTCTTGAGTGGCTGCACAATTGGCGGCTTCTCAAGAAAGGTTCAGCTCCATGAGTGATGGTGACAGTACAAGTTATGAAGCTTTCCTTTCTCTACACCAGAGTCAACCTTATCAACATTGCAGGGCTTGCAGACGGTTGCAACTTGTCGGAAAGGAGAAGGCAAAACTGGGGGGAGTAACCGTTCGTTGGCTGGGATACACTGAGTGACATTAATGTAAGGTGACTTACCTTGCCGTCTTTCTCCTTGTACCGGAGCTGCACACCGTCAATAAACTGGAGCTCGAACTCGGAGAATTTACGCCACATTAGTCTCGCCCAGGTTGCATTCAGTCCCACAACGGCGAGAGCTGCATCGACGGGGATCTGCGGCGGCAGCGTCGTGGTGGGTGTAGCTACAGCACAGATATTGTTAATACATGTAATTCCTGACATTAATTTACACTTATTTTACTTTTTTTTGTCTTTCATTCTTTCAAAAGCAAGCCATCAGTAAGAAGGTTATTGTATCTCTATTCTTCTGCATCCCCTTCTACTTTTCTTCCGCTTATCTTTTCCTTGTCCTTCTTCTCCTTCCTATCCCACAACACATTCTTCTTTTCCTCATTTCATTTTTTATTTTCAACGTATTTTTCTTTTTTCTTATTATTCCCTTCCGTTTCAACTTTCTCTCCTCTTTTCATCCATCTTCGCCTGATCCTTCTTTCTTTTCAAATCCGTACTATCCCTCTCTTCCTTCTCAGTCTACTTCTCTGTTATTGCTTTGAGTCTGTAAGGGCTCTGGGCTAGCTGGTAGGAGTAACGGCAACACTCCAATATTCGAGCGGCAGTTTGTTTGAAACTCGGACAGGCTGCAGACTATTACCGATTCTTGATAAAACCTGTCAGCATGGTCGACTTTAGGGCCGACAATTATCCCGCGACATCCTACCACCAAGCAGAATTGCAGCTTTAATGTGGACCTACTGTATTCTCATTTACTACAGAGTGGCGAGGAAAATATTCCTGGTACTTCTGGACATGCTTCAATTTAGGTACAATTACAGTTGGCATGCCTTCCTGGCCCAACAAGCCTAGTCTTTTGCGTAGAGGGTATAAAAGAGAATGCAATAATTGTTGTTAAATTTATATATTTCTACTTGCTTATCTATGAAGAGAAGTGTAGGCGATAACAGTGATTCGTCTAAGCTACACACACAAGTACACAAGTTTGTGTACTTAAAAATAATATCACATCAGAATGAAGCTTTGATTTTTCAAGTACGTGGTAGTTTCAGGGACTCGATTGTTCTTTTGCTTCCACTGATTAAGAAACTTACCAGCTGGATCACTCTCCCTGATTTTCGTCTTGGAATTTACACGTACTTGCATGCCATCTTAGAATTTTTTCTTTTGTCTTTTTGTTCCAATTTTTCCTTTTATAAATAAAGGAGTAAGGGTTGTTCTTGTATCGTTATGCATGATCAGTATGTATAACATTGTATATTAGCTAGTAATTAGAACCAGGAGCAGAAAATTGCGGGAGGGTCAGATCTACTTAAATGTGTACTATTATATTCAAATTTGCTGAAAATTTTCTTCTAAACAACAACACCCCTTAAAGGGTAGTGTGAATATAATTGTCTTCCCATAACTTTTAATGCCACTGTATTTATGTATTTTTGACGAAATTTATTTTTAACAATTATCTTTCGATGTTTCGAAGGAATTTCTTAGTTTGGAAAATGCCTTCAGTTATATTACGGACGTCTCGTACATCGCGTATTTCGGCATTTGTTCTTTTGCCAATTTTTTGTATCTACACAGGTGATTTTATGTGACTATTTTATTTATCATTTTTGTCTTTGTGTCTACAGTCCCATATCTCACATTCTAGCAACTGTATAATCAGTATTTTATAACGGTAAAGATAAATTTGTTTATGTGCTTAATTAATTAAGCATCACGTCATGAAAACACAGAGTGGAGTAGAGGTATAGCTCGACCATTCTTGATATCGGCACTAGATGGAGGTGAGTGGTTAGCTTCGCGCCACTGCCGCTTTACCCCAAGGGAAAGAGTCCCCCGTACTCATTGGGTAGGAGTCTTTGTGGGCCCCAGAGCATGTCTGGACAGTCTGGAGTAGAGAAGAATGTCTTACTCCTGTCGGGAATCGAACCCTGGACGTCCATCCTGTAATCTGTCGCTATACTGACTGAGCTATACCGATTTCTATCCAGTGCTTTGTATAACTTTAAATATGTAGTTCTATATATTTCTCTATCAAAGTGTTTGTAATGTATTGCATTTTTCGTATTAATATTCGTGTCTGATTAGATTTCCAAATTTCCCTAATCGGGTACATTTAAAAGAGTCCCTGTACATTAAATTAACTTCCCAATCTCAAATTGTGTTCAAAAGCTTCAGAAGATAGACAACCGAAGGTTGCTACGCAACGTGCCACAGGAAGGTTTGAGGATAAATTTGGGTGGAACTGCGTTCTCGCTCCACAATGCTCGGCCTCCGATCAATGGAACGCTGACAAACAGACCTACCTGCAGGCGGGGTGTGCACTGAGAGGATCTTGCTGGTGGGGGAGTTATGTAGGTCCCGCAGGATAACCGTTATCTTCATCTTGTACTCCGTGTCTGGAGTAAGATCCCCGAGTTCGAACTCCAATTGCGGTGTGGCGATCAAATCACCGGGAGGGGCCAGTTCTTGCTGGTTCCATGACGAGGGATCGCTGTTCCTGTAAGCAGGTCACAAATCCTGTAGCCTTACACATATGAAAGAAAATTTTGTTTATTGCGTGGATGAACTAAAGATAAAGGGAAACACTCACCATTGATTCAGCCACAGAGCAGCTTTTTTTTTTTTTGCTTTTGAATGTCTTGAGTTCATCACCTCATTTTTACATCAAATGCGATTGGCCAATTACTCATCCAATCGTTCTGCTAACCGGTTCCATGATTGTACCGCCTTTATGTTATTACATACTGTTTGTTCGAGGGGCCTTTCAGAAATCTCGCAGGCAGTACTCACTGTTTATCGGATGTGTAGCGCAGCTGTACTCTCCCATGCAGACCGACCAGCACAGGAGGCACGGAGAAGATAAGCTTCACAGTGTGTTCGTCCACGGCCTCCAGCATGTGCACCGTGATTTCATCTACAACACAGTCACATTTCTCAAACACAGCTGCGTTTTCTAGACGGTGCAACCGGGGAGCGGACTTGGTTTGGGTCGACACGACTTGGCGGGGAGATTGCTAGACTCTTCCTCCTGATTCTTCACTCGAATGAAAACCCTCTCTAATTCTAATATCTTCAATCGATGTAACTTAATGTAGGCCCTACTATATTAAATTAAGAACCTAGTAACCCCTCATATGGCCGCGCCATAGCTCAAGCAGATAGTAGCTGGCTTCCCACCTAGGCGGCCCGAGTTCGATCCCAGGTCTGGTCAAGTGGGATTTGTGGTGAGCAAAGTGGCGCTGGGACAGGTTTTCTCAGAGTACTTCGGTTTCTCCTGCCAATCTTCATTCCACCAGTTGCTCCACAATCACCCTCACCTATCATCTGGGGCTGGTACAATAGGCCAGAAGTGGCCACAGTACAAGGGAATTAGTCCCACCCCACTATCAATAAAAATAACTCATATAATTGATATTGGTTTAACAACATCAACATATTTCGGCGTTCAAAATTCTCTCCCTGTTTAAGCATCATAACATAAAGACTTGTGTGGAGAGGATGTAAAGCTCCATTTGTTCATAACCTCACCAGCTAAGATATTGTCTTAGACCCTGGATAAAAGCTAACGGAACCAGTGGATTGGTATCTGGCTGGGTTTCTGAGCCGTTATGGATGTGGGGGCAAAGAGAAACCCCCTGCCTCTGCTATAAATTCAGTTTGGATATTGGGGTTTCTAACTAAAGCCAATTATTGGATCTACGAATGTTTATTTAGAATTAACTTTTTAATCGAAACGAAGAATACAGTTAATCCCATTGTTTAACTGGATACAAGGAAATGGCTCAGATATTCAAATAACTTGACAGTTTATGTAATCATCAAGATGTGCTGACAAGTGTACAAGTATAGTGTTGTCGTCTGGTGTGTTATGTTCAGAGTAACGTGTGGGACGAGGATAATTTCGTTACTGTTCGTCACTGTGCAGCGTACATGTAACAGTACCAGAATACCATAATTAGTGTTAATACCTCGGAGTTATTTTGCTTATAACAACAATGACTTTCTATTTTTCGCTACACCACAACTGTATTGAATTATAAAGAGTCTGTAATTCAGTAAGTACTTATGTAATAGATGTAAGTAAGTGGGTTCTTGAGGTGCAAGTTGCATAGAATTAATTTAATACAAATTAAGCCTTAAAATATCAAATTCTGTTAAGTAATATCATAAATCTTCAGTGAAATTTAAAGCACTTTTCCATAATCGAAGTGGGACATTTTGTATTGCTATATGGAGATGTCTACTCGTGATAGATACAATAAATTATGGTTGTAGCTAAAGTATACATTTTTAATTAGCCAACAATTTCAACTCAATATATTGATTTTGAGTGGCAATTAAATATTAATCACCAATTAAATTGTATTACTTCTCGCATACGTTATTTAGAATCTTGAAATAATGGCATTAGAGGAATAATGGGTAAATTCAGAGACATAAATTCTAAAACTACTGAGATTTCTTCAAAAAGTACCAAGAAACCATAGACCCACAGTCTTCTCTTACCTTGACTCCTGCTAATATGTCCCTGTAGTGGAATGACAGGGGGTAGCGGATGCTCGAGGAACCCTGGCAACAGAAGCACTACTGCTAAGCACAGACATGTCATCTACGTCATCATGCATCTACACCCAACTGTTACGCGATTCAGGCTTCAAGAAACATGCAATGAATTCTAACGATTTTAGAAGTAAGTAAGGATGAAACACTGAAAATCTCTCTTCTCATTGTTGTGGTCAGGGAGTCCAAATTTTAGAAGTCTCTGCTACTGTAAGGATGTAACACAACGGACTCTTGTGAGCGTGTGGATGATGAGGTAACAAATTATTGTTCTGCAAAATTTTAATATTTAAAAATTATTTGTCAGAAGATTCTTAATTTTTTTTCCCAAAGGAAGAGAAATGAAACACTAATCTTTAGTGTCGTCAAAGCCTGTAACCACATATATGGCTAATTTTAATCTAATATAAAATATAATATTTGGAATCCAGCGATTGCTCTTGTCCTGTCATGTATTTTTCACCTAAAGCTCTAAAGTTCTACTTCACAGAACCGACGGCCAGTTTATTAATCAATCGCTACATGCTCGAAGAGAGGCAGAAGTGAAGTGTTCCACTTACCACAGTTCATTTCTCTAATTCTTGGCTGAAAGCTATGAGAGAAAACAATGGAAAGTCAGACAAACTGAAGTACATTTAGCCGACAGCCCAATCCTGCATGCATATATGAACTGCTACACGAGTTTAGATCACATCAAGCGCACTACAGAAGAGAGCAATGAATTTAATTGTAATTTTGCAATTCTTGTGGAGGAATAAAGCATAGATTCTATCGAAGGTTAAAAAAATTGTTAAAACAATCAGTTATCAAACCGTAACAATATGGCTTCCAAAGTATGCATCAGGTATTTGTTTAAAAGACATGAAGAGGATAATTAACAAGAAACACGTTAAGATCTTTTTTTTTTTGTCTATTGAATATTGGAAAAGCCACTAAGCACATCAAAAACAGATGACATTGCTTTAAATCTAAACCACTTATCACCTAACTTGCTACTGTTGGTGAAATCCTCTAGGCTTGTACTTGTTAGTTAAATAGTTCCATCTCGTCAAGGCGAATTCCAGGATAACCCCTGGAAACATGTCACGGATTCGATCTTTTCTAATATAACTTACAAATTAGGTGCCTGCCAGTTAAGTCACTGCTACTGAAATATCAGTTACTCTATATAATGCAGAGTTGTTAAGGAAGTCATATTAATCACATGGTGTATGTTTTTACTTTACTTACCATAAATTTCTCTGTCTTATTTAAATGTCTGTCTCTAACCGCAGTTCTGTTCAAGGGATTAACATGTCGGTTGCTGTTGTGTGCTGAAGTACTGTCAAGATGTCGTGGGAAGCAGCCATTACCACAGAGGAATACCGGTTCATTTACGGTAACGACATAAACACAGAAGCACAGGGATCGCATCATGACTACAGCTACAAAGGACATATTTTGAGGAGTTGTTGTCCTTAATTCGAAATCATTTTAGATTTTCATCTCAGTTATAGCCTAGACAAATTCTGCACAGCCGTTTTCATTACCATTTATAACAGGAATTTACCAGCTAAAATCTTCTCGGGCGATCAGTCGTGTCAATGTTATGTTAAAAGCGCATGTTTCACACATGTCCTCAGCCTCCATCATCAGGGTCGATGATGGAGGCTGAGGATATCTTTTAAACGTTGGATTTTACCTCAACATTGACATGAAGGAAGATATCAGTACATTTATTCCCCGCGAAAACTAAAAGTTACTTAAATTTATGAGTCCCATTCCGTGGTAAATATATAATAAGAAGAACAAATGTGAATCAGACCAAATAATTGTTCATATGTAGTTACAGTTTCCGCTTAGGTTACAGTAAGACCCAAAGCTCACGTCATAGGTTCACACAAAATCTTAAGCGTAGAATCTAGGAACAGGAGTGTCAACATTTTCGAAATCTGCCACCAGTATTAGCTCTTCATGTCGACGTTACAGTCTTACACATTTTTTCTTAATAATCTAAGCCGTTACCCCATCCGGCAACAATCTACCCCAGGCATCAGATGGGACTAACCTTGATTTGACTGGTTGTGGTGTCCTTGTGGTGTCAGTAGCAGATGGTCAATGTCAACGTGTGGGGGCACGTGCGGTGCCCCATGATACTGGTGTGGTACCAGCAGTCCTTGATATGGTAAATGAGCCACGAGTGGTCCATCTGTGTCTGGCTGTCTACCTGGCTGGCCAGGATAACGATTTGTAAGGAGAGGGTAGGGTAAAGTATTTCTGGGTCTGTTAGACAGTGGTCGAGGTATGCCTGTCTGGTACGAAGGATGGTGACCTGGTCCAAGAATTGGCTTTGGCACGTATTCATTGCTGTAGTGGGGCGGTATACGTCCAAGAGAAGGGTGAATATGTATATCGTGTGATTCACTTTCGTAAGCAGGTTTATTGTCGGGTTTCTTTATTACATCTCCATGTTGAGATGGGGGTTGTACTCTTTGATGTTGCGGAGAGTCGTGGGATGGCGGCCCTTCTTGTTGAAGTATAGTATAATGTTCTGGAAGGATTCCTTGTCTCTGTAGATGCATTAAAATCTGATCAAGATGAGGATCTGAAGGACCTTCAATTGGATGACCTGGAGAAGGTCTTTGATGTTGGATTTCAGCTGAGCCTGGAATATCCGTAACCTGAAAAGCATCTCTTGAACCAGGTATTGGTCTGCTGTTGGGAGGTATGAAATACTCTGAGGGAATGAGATGGTTCTGAACACTGTACTGAGGATTATCTAATTGTGGTTTATTCGGCCCAATAGAAGACACATTTCCGTCCTCAGATTCAGGGCTACTATGATCATGATTATTTTTATTGTTATGATGCTGTGGATGTATCCACATGATTGGTTGTTCAGAGTCGTCTAAGGGCTCTTCTTCATATTCTGGCAGAAAAGGAGGCTTAACTCGATACGGTTCGAGTTTTCCTTCAGTTTTAGGGGCGTCTTTCTGGTCTGGATGGCGAGCCTTGTTTAACGACTCAGGCACTTCCTGTTCCTTGGTTTCAAGAACTGTTGAAACTTCTGTTGTCGCTATTGTTGCTGTTGCCTTCGTCGTTGTTGTTATATGTATGCCATCGACCTCATGAGGCGAAATGGGAGGTTTAGTTAGGATAGGTTGTGTAGATTTGTGACCTCCGGGAAATTTCTTAGGTCCATCTTTGTTGTTAGAGTCTTTCTGCTTAACGGACTGAACATTGTTCATGGGGTTTGTATGGTTTCGGCGTTCATCATCGTCCTTTAGAGGTTCCAGTAACGGAAACAGTGATGGAGGTAGGAAGTTAGGATTCAATGGTAAGAATGTATGTTGGTGGTCAGACTTCATGGGGGTACCAGTAGGTGTAATTGGTCTAAGTTGTTGATCTGAAGACGCATCAGACGTTGCTGTTTGGTTTTCAGGTTGTCTTTGTTCAGTCGGTCGGTCGTGCCTCACTGTCTCTTTACTTCCTGTAACGTGGAAATTCAAACCGATACTGGAACCATATCTTCGATTATCATTAGTTGACTATGTACAAAACATTTGTAATTTGTTTTAATGCTCCTGCAACCATGAGCTAATAGGATAAAGATTCTCTAATTTAATGTGTAATTTTAAATTCTGACCTTGAACAAAGTATATATTGTTAAAATATAAGCCACAAGCTTTCTTTGAAGTGGCACTAAAATTTTGTTTACATTAGTGTTTTCTTTCTGTTATATGCGGATATTTACGTTGCGTCAGAGGTGAATGTTCTGTAACTTATGGAGGAAAGCGAAACTAACATAAACAAACACAAAATAACATGAAACGTATAAGACTAAATGAAATTCATTTGTTCCTTTGCAACCCCTTTATAAGCCATTACATTTAAAAAAAAATTAAATAGTTCTGCTTAAGTTCTAATTATAATCTCTTTATGTAGTAATAAAACGAAAAGTGCTTTTATTGCCAGTTATAATTCCGTGCTATAATTCTAAGGAGAAACAAAAAGTGCAAACTTCATTTTCTAAGCTACTTTTCTAAACTAGGCAAATTCCAAAAGGAGCTAATATAATCAAAAAATCTCATTCTAATGTAAAGGTAAATTCATCCCCGAACTTAATCGCAATATCATGAAAGTGTATTTAGGAATGGAGGTAATACTCCACGAGTTCTTATCATCGATATTAAATGGAGGTTAACATCAAGCCTCCGCCAATTTACCTACAAGAAAAGAGCATTCACACGTAGCATTTTATGTTACCATTCTGCGTGTAAAATGTAAGCTTTTAAGCAGGCTGCATTAACATAAGCCAGTTACAACGGAAGAATCAAGATTATCTTGTGCGACTGAGTAGCTGAGGAATGTGAAAACCTACTTTTTTGCCGTCATAATTCAACTGAGTATCAACATGCGAGTTGTCATTCTTGTAAAATGAGTTCTTTAAATAGGTAAAGACTTTGTAATTGTTTTAATGTACGCCTATAATTTTGATGTGGGATGGAGAATAATTTAGAATTTTAAGAAGTTTACTTGTTTTACATATCTTATAAAATTTCAGATATTACTCCACCGGAAACACGTTTTCCCTTCTCGTCGTTCGATACATTCATGCTCTTTAGGAAAGTATTCGCTCTTTATTGTGAGAACCATACAAAGCATAGAAATGCACTATGTGGGCAGAATGTAGAGTTTTATTACTATGTTAAAGTGGGTTTAAGACCGTTAAATGGGATGCAGATCTTCTTGTGTAAAGGATTTCTTCCTGGTTAATCAAGTAAACCGTAATTTAAAAAATCACATGCATGGTTTACATGGACTTTAATGTATTTTCGTGGCATTAATCAATGTATCTGCCTCAAAAGGGGAATATAAAGTATAATTCTAATAAACCTGTGGAAATCCTTGACGCAATCCAGCAACTCTGAGGCATGAAATACCATAAATACTAGTAGATAATCATTTTTCGTAAAATACACTTTAAGGTATAGAAATATTCCCCCAAGATCAAACAGATTTGTTAGTATTAAAGGTTTCGGTCAATTGGGCTTTAATGGATGATTTGTATGATCATTTCAATAGATACAGCGTTATCATAAAGAATAATCCCTACAAAGGTAATTAAATTAAATCGTAAATATAAGTTAAAAAAATTGTCCTTCTGCTTAATTAACTAATCAATCACAATGCCATGAAGAAGTACAGGGGAGTGGAGGTATAGCTCCACAATTCTGGACCTCGGTACCAGATGGAGGTTAAGTTGTCAGCTTCACGTTCTTGCCGCTTTACCCCCAGGGGGGAAAGAGGCCTCGGTACCCATTGGATAGGAGACTGGGTGGGGGCCACAGCCGATCTTGACTTTATGAAGAAGACAAAAATCTTGCACTGCTTGGAATCGAACCCGGACCTCCCAAACAGTAGCCAGTCACTATACCTACTGGAGTTATACCGTCTGAGCTATTCCGACTCCAAAAATTAATTCGTACTTATTATTCTTGAATAAGTGAAGAGCGTAATATTAATACACTAAATTTAATGTAATTTTATAAAGTCATTGTAAATGTAACCCTGTACTGACTGAGCTAATCGATGTAGGGAGACGCTCTAGAATTATAATGTCTAGGTACTCGATTCGAATTTCTGCCAAGACACCGGCTATTCTGATTGAGGGTTTTCGTCGTTTCTTTCAGTCCTTAAGCGAAATTTTTGGGTAGTACTTCAGTTAGGCCACGCCTGCTTCCTTACAAGTCCTTTTCAGTGCATCATTCAACACTCTTTCTATCTATGGGTCTACAGCCCTTGTGGACTTTGAACGTTTTTTCAGTTTCTTAATCCTATACACAGTCGGTAGGGCTCCTTGGACATGGGATCAGCCCGTCTCAAGGCCGCTACCTACACACAGAACAACAGAAACAGAATAAACATGTACGGACATGCATGCCTGTAGGGGGATTCGAACCCACGATTCCAGTGTTATAGCGGGGGAAGACGGTTCATGTCTCAGATCGCGCACCCACTGTGATGAGCACGTCTTCCCACCTCTTGAAAAATACCCTAGATAGCAATCAGAAATTAATTATTAATCTCTCATATTTCTACAAATTAAATTTATTGCAATAAGAAAGTGCAGCCAAGGATGTTTAGCACTATAACAAAGCCACGTCAATCTCCTTGGACAGAAACCAAGAATCTGATCTGCATTACCATACGCACAAACCCTCGCATTCAGTAGCCTTTTGTTAATATACAAGAATAAGTTCTATATACATGTTTGCTTGGACAACAAATGTTCTCCTGCTTGTTGCTTGGTATAAGCATTGAGCCTGGTCATAAAATTTGTTAAGGTTAAAATGGAGAGGCACACGGTACTACAAGACTTGTCGTATGCTTCAACAATGTTTCTTGTGGGTCATTTAACAACAATTACAGTACCGAAGCTATGTAGCGTCGAATGGAACGGTAAGTGTTGAATTGGGTAAGGATTTCGAAATAAGCGTTCGTGGCTTAAATACTCTACTACCCTGGCCACTGTCTGGAGGAAGTGAAGGGAAGTCTTTAGTAAAGATCGCTGGTTATACCGCCGAGATTTCAACCGAGTACCTCTACAATACAAGTGTAGACCGTTACTTTTAGCTCATCTTGTTTGTTTTACATAATGCGGTACAAACCGTTAAATATATAAAAGTAACGAAAGCAAAAGGACGCAGCATAGCCCAGGAGGTTAGTCGCTGGCTTCCCACCTCGGCGACCCGGGTTCCAGCCCTGATCGTGTCATGTTGAACTTGTGGTGGACAAAGTGGCGCTGGGACAGATTTCCTCCGAGTACTTCGGTTTTCCCTGCCAATCCTCATTCCACCAATTGCTCCACAATCATCACCATCCGGGGCTGGTACAATAGGCCAGTAATGGCCGCAGTACCCAGTGGACTCAGTCTCACCCCACTAAGAATAATGAAAAGAAATAAAGCAAAAAGACAGGCATATGTGACGTAATTAGAACATTACAATATTATCGGTTTGCAAATGGACGATACCTGAATGCTGGAGCTGAGGACAGAGCCAGTACAGACAGCAGTCCTCTCCTGGAAGGTGGCTGAGAATGGCTTGGTGGGGGTCACATTGCAGGTCTGAAGGCGGACTGGCTGTCACCGGAGGACACGTCGATTGGCATGAAACGTTTCCGTATTCACAATAACACTTCTGCGTGCATCCAGTCAGCTTCGTCGGTATCTCAGCCCAGTTGCTGAAGTACTGGCCCTCATACACGCAAGAGCCGTTGTTTATACAGCGCACCTGAGACAGAAATGGTGAACTTTAGAGAGTAAACGCGCAATGTCTCAGCCTGATCCCCATCTAAGGGGTCTTATAGATATCAAAATTAGGTCAAAGGGCCTAATTAATGAAAGGTAAAGATGTCCAATATCGTTGATACAATATCGCACCATAGTAGTCCATTCTAGCTGGGAACAAGTCAGTTCAGCTGTATTTTATCGTGTACAGCAATGACCGCCAGATAAGCGAATAAACAAAGACCGTTTCTAGGTAACGGATAGGTAAACGCGTTCCCGCTGCAACGAATACACACGCAACAATAGCGTTACTGTTGGAAACGGTGTTTTCTACTCAGTCCGTGCAAATGGGTTATAAAAAAGACAACTGGGGCCTCTGAGTCAGTGTGAGAGACAGTTCTATACGGGAGGAAATTGAACCTGAACGAGTGAAGCTGAAGAATGTCCACTGTTCGAAGTCGTTGATTTGAAAAGGCTGGTGAAGACAGCAGGCTGGAAAAGGCTTAACGAGTGCTGCTGTGAATATTAGAGAAGGCGCTGTAATTAATTGTATTTCCGAGTCACGTGGACATGTATAAGTAGACATAAATCACAATTCACCAATCCATACCACGTCTATAGTCACACTCCTACATGTGAAAGTATGGTTCCTTAATGGTCTATTCATTTCAGTAATTGTAACTTTATTTCTTTTGAAGTAACTGCATTTCACAGGGAGTCACAAATGTACGCGTGCCTGTCTCGATTGTCTCATCTGTAACAAATATAAAAAAAGAAACCGTAGCCCACTTGATTTAAGCGCTCTAAATATGTCAGGAGAAGAGAATGGACAGCAGAGATTACTAAATTCTGTGATACAACAATGTGTAGTTTTGTAAATAGGTACCAATATTCTGGAGTCACTGTTTCCTTCCTCTGCAGGAATGATCTCTCTTTCAGTTTTTAACCTTGAGCCTGGAGGCAATAAATTCCTCCGAAACGTTACTACATATCTACCAAACTATATGACGTCACATCCTAGGAGTCCATGATCTAAATATTCACCGCTCTGAGAATTTAAAGTCTCATATAATAAACAAGGAAGTTCCGCATTTGGATTCATTTAAATTTCGTGTCACAAATGCTGCAGAACCGGATGCTTTACTGTGAATCTGTTTCAGTCTACGATACATATTTAATACATTTTACAACTTGTAAAAATTTAATATGATTTAAATCGCGGTACTTTGAAAGCGCCAATGAAATAAAACTATAATCATAAACTAAATAAATGAGGAAGTAAAGGAAAGAAGACAGTAGGAAGAAATAGGAGGCCTAAACATGAATGAAAAGAGAGACAGAGCGAAGGAGTAAGAATGAAATATAAAAATGAAGGAAGGAATCAATTAATCAGTCTTAATATAATTTTGATATCTTCACGGCGGTTGAAAAGAAGATTGTGATATTGTGGGTTGTGACTCCATAGAGTTTCGTATGGGGTTATCAACATTTCTCAGAAGCTGACCTCCATATTCATGGAAGTGAATTAGGGTCCTGCGTAATTTTGTTAATCACACATAGATCTATCTGTCTGCCTGACTGCATGCCTCTCTATCTATCTATCTACCTATCTTATCTATGACTCTACACTCCTTTTGTTGGACCTTGGCTGCCTTTTCAGGTTCTTAATCTTCTTTGACGGGAGATCAGCCTGTCGCAAGGCCGCTACCTACACACAGAATATATGCACACAGACATCAATGCCTTGAGTGGGATTCGAACCCACGATCCCAGCGTTCGAGAGACCAAAGATAATTCATGCTTTAGACCGTGCGGCTACTGTGATCTTCATCCACAGAACTATACGGTGTCATGACCCAGAAGAACATAACCTTAACAGCCCTGTTTTAATTACGTCAGTTGATTCAGCCAAATTTCAACAGAAACCAGATACCCACTAGGCCATGCAGCAAGTGAACAGAACGAAAACGCGGTTCCTGTTATCACAGTTACATCACTATGATTACCACTGACTCAGCAAGAGCTCACTGATACTCATTGTGTAGGAGGCTGGATGGACCCACAGAGCCGGCCTGAATGTTGTCCTACCGGGAATCGAAACCCAGTCATCTAGCTTGTAGACCGCCGCTATACAGACTGTAACGTTATACAGCCTTAATAAGCTATTTAAATGCGACTTTTTTTGCTTATGGCTTATACTTCCTCAGAACTGAAATTATCTTATGTATACCTGCTCCGGACAGCAGTTCGGTGGTGAAGGCTTGAAGCCAGGAGGGTGGGTCTCCCAATCAAGACAACTGGGGTCCAGTACGTCCAAACCGAATTCCGTGGGGCACTCGATGGTGGCACACTGCACCCCACTGTCGGTGCAAACGCAGTAGGCCTCACAGCCGTCATGAAATTCCTCGCCAAACATGTAGTGCCGACCCTTGTGCTGGCAGCCTGCTGCATACATAGACATGACACGTTAGAACAGCCCACATCCCCCAAAATGATCCTTAACTTAATAAAGCCATACATATCAAACTGCATAAGCATATCACGTGCAATCAATTGCTCCCAATACACATGTTCCTGATGAACTATTCTTAAAGTGTGAGGAGAACTCATTTCCAAGTGCATTTACAGTCTTGGAACGAACATAAATTAGGTCATAGGTCCAGATGGGGCTCTAAAACAAGAACGACTGTACTGGCGAGGACCAGCAGCAATTTACTGGACCGAAGAGGAAAATGGTGGGTTGTAAATTTGCATTCTAGAAGGGTTGCATCATTCTTAGAAAGTTAAGGGGAATACAATTCATTTGGCCTCAGGTGGGTGGACTTTAAAAAAATTGTAATTCTTCTGACTTGCAACATTTAAGTTCCTTTGACATTGTCACCAGTGCCATGGGTAAAAACGGACTGATGACATGTCTACTGTGCGTGTTTGTGTGTGTGCGCGTGGGTGTGGTGAGTGTACAGTAGGAAGGGTGAAGCCACGACGCCAAGATAATTACGTCTTGCGTCGCTGCAGAGTCACTTGCCGCTCGTTATGACGGTTCACTTTGCCATTGAAGAAGAGCAAGAAATAAAAGTAAAGATGTCCGTGTGTTTAAGTAACTAAGCACTAAGCCATGAAGACATATGCGGGAGTGTATGTATAGATCCACGTATTCTTGACCTCGGCACTAGATGGAATAGTAGCTTCAAGCCCGGACCGCTTCACCCACGGAGAAAGAGTCCCAGGCACCCATTGTATAATAGGCTGGGTGGGCCCCAAACCCAGTCTGGAGGATGTGGAGAGGAGAAAAGTCTTGGCCCTACAGCGACTCGAATTGCCACCCCTAGTCCTCCAGCCCGTAGCCGGTCGCTATACCGACTGTGCTACCCCGGTTCCCGGTTAGCAACTAATACTGAATAGAAGAAAACCCCTCAGGAATACTATCAGGAGGACCATATATCACACCTAGAGACAAGACACCTCTTCTATGGTCCAAATGATTTAAAAAGGGAAAAGCTTTTAGGCGGTCACGCTAGCCCAGCGGTCTGAGGCATGTACTGTTTTCGCTCGCTCAGAAGCCGGGATCGTGGGTTCGAATCCCACTCAGAGCATGAATGTTTTGTATGTGTATGCGTTTATTCTGTGTTTGTGTTGTCCTGTGTTTACGTAGAGGCCTTGCGACGAGCTGATCACTCGACCGAGGAGTCCTGCAGTCTGCAAAATAAAAAAAAAAAACCTCGACATTGTAAAGGTATAAGAGGAACGCATTAAGTAAATAAGAAAAGCCTTTTAGAAATTAACCTTAACTCTAATTAACGTGGTCGATGTCTGTGTTTATGTTTATCGGTAAAAGCTATTACAAAGAATCAGAGGGACTTCTAAAAGCGTCTTATTGTGTATAAATTGTAATTTGCAGTTACATGGTTACCAAACCATTGCGATTTAATGTGATTCCTTCCTTCACTGATTTCCTCCTGGTAAATCCTAGCAGAAGTTAAAAACCTGTCACGACGCCTTTCTTCAAATACGAACGAAATTACTACTAACGTTCTTCCTCTATCACGTCGTTCAAAGGTACACAACCACAGTGGTCGATAAAGCATCATTAAAATGCCCTCCCTTAACCAATAATCCACTCATATCAGGTCGCTTCAAATTATGAAGTTGTTACTTCAAATCGTTTTACTAACGTGTGGAGTTCAATAAGAGTGTCCCCCATGCGTCTTCTTGACTTTGTTGTTAGATACAGAAAAGGCAAGATGGATTTCTTCGAGAGCTTCTTATATGTCCGTTGCGTCCATGTGTTATGAAATATATCTGTAGCGACATGGAAGCCTGAGACCTTGAAAAAATTTTTGCGATGTGGTCAAGGTGATATTTCCCTGCCTGAGGCTTAGAGACCAAACCCGGAGGGTACAGACCATCCTTCCAGTGGATTGCCTGAAGCACAGAACTGTATAACCAAGAGCAGATTAATAAATAGATGGCAAATACCTAACCTACAGAACTACATGGTGTAAAAAAACTAAAATATGAATTTTCATTGCCTTGATAAAATCATATGTTATATAGGGGAGATAATGGCAAAGTTTGTCCTATTTTAATTGCTGTCCCTCATTACTGAGCTCCTTTAATATTCAGAAGTTAAGTGGTTCAAACACTGAGATACTTCTCTGGTGCAAGACCTCATACGTGTGTAAGAGTTTAAAAAAATTAATTGTTTCCTTACTTCTCGCAGATGGTTTGTGCTGTGTTTCATTTATGTACCGCTTCTTGGTGCTGGTACAGGCGTCCGGAGATAGGGACTATCTCTATCGTTTGGTCCTAACTGAGTAGGTTTTACCTGAAAACGGAGACAGTTTCCAGTCTCCGAAATGTTGTGTTTTGGAAAAAAAAAAAAGAGGACAGTTTTTAGATAAAGGCAAGACGATGAACATTCAGAACAATGATATCTGACAGAGACCCCTTAGTTATTATATATGACATCCTATCACTAACAAACTCTACCCTCTTAACTGCTGATATAATTTTGGTAGGTACGAAGAAAACCTGTACCTAATTCATGATTTTATTATTATTATTTATTATTTACTGCAATTGGGCTTATGCCCGGTGGCAGTGTTTACAAAAGTGGACACACATTCAACAAAGATACATCACCTACGTCTCAAGAAAAAACATTCCCCTTTCCATAGAAAAATTTATATTCGCCTGCTGGTTCGGTGCCACCTCCGTCCCTTCTGACCTCCTGTACTCCCACTAAATCTAACTTATATTCTGATATTTCTTTCGCAACAGTCATGAGCCAACCTGCCCTGTACAGACTTGTAAATTTCATATCTTTAGCTATTAACTATCAGGCCCACGTTACGAAACAAGAAAAAACAGGGAAATTGTATTATTACGTACACAGGATTCCACTAAAAATTACTATTTTCCAGTATATCATTTCCCCATTAATTAATGAGTATTCTTTCTATTCCTACATTAAAGGATTTGTATTTATTATTAGATTGCGTTCTCCTTTCCATATTCTTGACACCAAAGAAATTTCCGATCTAGTCAGGTTCCGTCAAGGGCTCTTATGAACACTGTAATGAACCTTCGGGTTCCATAAAATGTTGGGAAATTCTTGAGTAGCTGCAGAATTGGCGATTCCTCAAGAAGGGCTCAGCTCCATGAGTAAGTAATTAAGTCAGGTTCCGTCCAAGACAGGTCCTACTGTATATCTACCTGTAACAGGTCGCTGGGTCCCGTTTGTGGGCAAGGTCACCTCAACTGCGTTGCTGACCACGTTGCCTCCTTTAACACGGAGGTAATAGGACCGCCCTGGTTCGAGTCCCTGCACGAGAAGTCCCTTGGCATCCTGCCTCTTCCATGTCTTCTGGTCCAGACTGCTCTCCACTGTGACGTTATCGTGACGGGACTGCAGGTCTCCGGCCAGTCCCAGTCTAACTGTGGTCCTGTTCACTATTTCCACAGTCAGTAGTTGTAGATGGGGCGATCCGGCTGCGTCTTCTATGCCTGTAAAGTAGTGGATCGGTTGACTTAACTAACAGACCTTGCAACAAATTCTCGGAACAACTAGCGGCGCCTTCTTTCCTTAAAATGTTCCCTTCTAAGCAGACGCGTGTGCAACAACTACAAATTAATAATTACAGGCCTGAAATTTAATGATTTGTTGTTATCCGTAATTATCACTGACAAATTTGCCTCATGCAAGTAACAGGAGGCTGGGGAAATCCGTATAAGGAAAATCTTTGTAATTTTTACCCAGTATTACGACGAGAATAACACAAAAAAAGGATAAGATGGGCGGTCATGTAGTACACACGGGAGAGATGAGAATTGCATTAAAAATTCTGGTTAGAAACCCTAAATGGAATAAATTATTCGAAAGAATTTAAGTTAAAAGAATAAGATTCTCATTCATATTTCGTACAAATCCGCACGGCATCAATTTAAAGGAATATTGCATCAAGTTCTAAGTTTATATCAGATGCTTCTGCTTATTTTAGGCATGATTTTCATAAAGGATGCAATATATGTTCATCTTAACCGAACACTAAACAACTTTACCTGCTTTGCTGACGTCATGGTCACCCAGAGTGACGTCACACAGCACAACTGTGCAACAAGGGTCAATAGGGTCAGGAAGCTCGACACAGCGGTCTGTTGATGAAACGTTGTGCACGGCCGGGCACCTGAACACAAGAACTTGTTTAATGTGTTATTACTTACACACATGCGTAGTCAACATCTGTCACCCACAGGTGTGATCTCCGATCTCTCGTTTATCATGATCTAAACTTATTGAAATAACGTGATTTAATCTTATTTATTCGATCTTGAAAACCTCAAGGACTGAATGTCGAATATCGCATCCCGTGGCACTCTTTCGCACATTGTCTCGCGCAGAGAGCTGCCGTAAGGGGTGTTAGTCTCCATTCGAGGTGCGCTACTTTATGCCACTCAGATTAATTACACAAAATTAAAACAAAACTGTAAAGATGATTGCCTAGATTACTACTTATTTTCAAAATGAGAATTCACGATAAACGACAGGTCCATCGCGTGGCCTCTACCTACATAGGAACATGTCTCGAGATGTATTAATATTACTATTAATATTATTATTATAATACTCAAGGAAGACTAATGTCCTGCTCTATGGGTATCAGCTTTGTCATACTGCTATTACACGCACTTTAATTTTCTTGTGTAATAGGTATTAATTTATTAGACTTGTTATTAATTTTATGCTATCACTTCCAGTTGTCTTATCTTAGTATCTAGTTGCTAACAGTATTAGCAACATTCATAATTCCTAATGTATGTATATATTTAAGTCTTCTTTAGATGTATGCTCACAGATTTATTTGTCATATCTGTATTTTATTTAATTATTTTTGTGTACCTTTGTCACTCGTGCTAACTTTGTAATTGGCCACTGTGCTGTTAAGTTATTGCACATAAATAAACATGAATTGAATTGAATTGAATTGAATTGAATTGAATTATGGCCCTACAGTCCTTTGTTGGGTCTTGGCCGCTTTTTCAGTTTCCTGATCCTACATCTGATCCAGGGTTTCCTGGCCAAGCACGGCATTCCGCAGGTCCGCCAGGCTCCCTACTCTCCCGACATGGCTCCTTGTGATTCCTGGCTGTTCCCGAGACTGAAGACACCGCTAGGATATCATACAGAAAGCGACGGAGCAGCTGCACGCCATTCCAAAAGAAGCTTTCAGAATTGCTTCCAGCGATGGAAGGACCGCTGGGCTAAGTGTGTGGAGTCACAAATGGTCTACTTTGAAGGAGAGTAGGTATTGTAACCACCCGGATACAGAACTCTGTTTTCCCGGCCCACGCTCGGATACTTTTTGGACAGTGTAGTATACACAGTCGGTAGGACTCCTTGGACGGTGTATTAGCCCGTCGCAAAGTAGAACAACACAAACAAAAATTAAAAGCACACAAACATCCATGTCTTCAGTGGGATTCGATCCCAGCTTTCTAGCGAACGAAGACAGTTGATGCCTTAGATCGCGCGGCCACTGTGATCTGCCTCGAGGTGTATAGTGTACAGACGAAATTGTAGCATGATCTGTACTGCTGCAGTACACGAATTACTCGTAGATGGACTTCCCGTACAGTATTAGAAAGGAAACATCACTGAACCTACGTATACTGAATTTCATATATCCTGCAGGCATTAACTTACACTATTTCGATAAATAAAGTAATTCTTGAATAAAAATATATATGATCCGATCACAGTGGCCGAGTAGGTGCGTATATTTTTCGTTCACTCTAACACTGGCATCGTACTTTCGAATCCCACTTGGGTTGTGGCTACACTTCTGTGTTTATGTTGTCCTGTGTAGGTAGAGGCCTTACAATGGGCTGAACGCCTGTCAAATGTATCCTAACAAATGTCACAAACATTCCTAAAGACAGAGGTAGATTCTAAATTGGAACAGGCCTGAGGGATTAATCTGTAAAAGGTGAAGAGAAAGCAGAAAAGAAGAAGAAATGTAGGAAGTGTAATATTTGCCGAAACGTTGGAAAACCCTCAATGTTTACGTGATCTGATCCCCAAAGGACGAAACCACAGGAACTAATAATTAGATAACATTACTTGGCTTTTACATCCTTCTTACCCAAACATGGCCAGAAAATGTTTTCAGCCTCTTCACTCGTTTGGAGTGTAAACTTCAGAGAGATAATAATACAAAGCAAAGCTATAGATGTTGTAGATCTTCTGAGAGAGGAATATTTCTTTTCTAAGATTGGTGATTTTACGAGAGGTAACGAAAATCTGTAGTTCTAGCTTAAACTACACTGGCTCTAACAGAAAAAAAAATCAACATTGTAGTAATCATGGAAACTAATCAATTCATTAGTTGTTTTTACTGACGGGTAAAAGTAAAGCTATCCCCGTAACAGGCCGTGAAGACCTATAGGATTGTGAGACGTCGAGGATCCCACATTTTCCTGACAATCGGCAAACAAATGACGGTAAGGTTGTCAGCCTTAGGCGCTGGCCGCCTTTTACTCCCAAGAAGGTTACTGATTCTGGGTTAAATAAACATACTGCAAACAGTGTGATTAGTATGCAGCAAAACTATCAAAAAATCCGAACCTGGGTTTGCAGACAACCTGGCCAGCCTCTGCGCATGTGCACACTGCAAGGCAGCCGTCGTTGAAGGTGTTTCCTCTCTGGTAAGACTGGTTCTTGAAGGTGCAGCCCTCTAGCGGTTCCGTCTCTGAAGCATTAAGTTTATTGTAGTTGATAAGCATAGAGGGAGAATAATCATTACTTAATACTACCTTCAGACATTAAGTTCTCCCTTCTCTAGAGATGAGGAGAGGAACTCTCGATCCAAAACTTTGTGAGAAACACACAGCAGAACGTATAGCTTTTATTTACGAGTATGTAGCTGCATTGGTCAGTATTGTGAGAATTGTGGTGGCCATGATTTCATATATGAATATTGTTAATCAATCGTAGGTCTAAATTGACGATGGTAACTGCATTTATCACTTGCTATAATATTTAACTGTGGTCTAGTGTTCAGAGTTCCTGGGTTCGGGTCAGATTCCCGGCGCTACCAGATTTTCTGAGAAGTAGTGGGTCTTGAATGGGGTCCACTCAGTCTCTTGAGGATAATTTAGGATATATTTCAAGGAAATAGAGGCTCCGGTCTAGAAAACCGAGATTAACGGTCGTGGGGATTCGTTGCGTTGACCACGCGACACCCTATATCCGCTAAAGTTGGCACTAACTTTGCCACAGTCGATATAGTTCGCTTGTGGACTAAAACCACGGAGTTAGTTTGTCTGTTTTGTTGTACCTTATCCATAGAATATGTTTATGGGTTCAATATGATTCTCAGAATAAATAGTGAATTAAGTATCACAAAAAATTAACAGATTAGTTTTTCAGAATTATTGAGTTTTTGGACTTTGTCCATTGTCCAGTATTCTAAGAATTAGATAACACAACGTTTCGGAAACTGGATCTGTTTCCGTCCTCAAGTGAGGGGATGGGAGACACCTACTCAGTTGGGTCCCTTAGAAAGAGCTAACCTCAATCATTGGACGATTAATTTTTTGAATTGAGGAGTCTTTTTTCTGTAAGGCAAAAAAGCAAAAGCAAAGCTGTCCCCGGACTTAATTAATTAAACACTACACCATGAGGACTTTCGGGGGAGTGGAGGTATAACTCCACCATTCTCGACCTCGGCACTAGATTTAGGTGAGTGGTGAGATTCACGCCCTGGCTATTTTATCCCCGGCGAAACAGCCCGCGGTACCAATTCTATAGGAGACTGGGTGGGCCCGAGAGCCGGTCTGGACGTCATGAAGAAGAGGAAATAATTTTGCCCTTGCTGGGAATGGAACCCCGACCGTCCAGCCTGTAGCCCGCCGGTACACCCCGCATTTCTCTATGACATAGGAATTCTATTTTAAATATATGATCCAGACGAACTGCCTGCTACAAAATATTCAGGGAAGGAATTCATGTAGAGCGAGTTACTCGCTTTCAACTGAAGTAAAGGTAATTCGACAACAAAAATACTCAGTCAGAGTTATTGACAAGAATGGTGCAACCCCGAGGGAGGATACGTATATAAATATATATATAAATTTATATATAAATATATAAAAATACGTCACAGTTACTACTTATGTTTTTCATAAGAACCGTCTTGCAACGTTCCATGCCTACAAGAGGATGCATATTGGTACTCTCAAACTGATTTTTCAAAATGTACCAAAGGAGATGGGGATTATTCCTGTGGGCCCCATTATTATTATTATTTTATTGTTGTTGTTATTGTTATTATTATTATTTGTTATGTAGTTCTTAGTTATCATGTTTTTCTTATCACTCCTCATCTTGGTTTGTTTGTTTACTTCTCTATATTAATATGTTATTTCCTCCAGTGTTTGCCTGTAATTTGTCTTTGACTTTACGTTGTGTTTGTCTATAATATAATTACCAGTATCTACACTGTGCTGTGTCTGTTTGTTTTTTTTAATTCGCTTAGTGGGGGTTGGAGTCCAACTGGGTCCACTCGGCACGGCGGCCACTATTTGGCCTAGTGTTGTGTCTGTAATTCGACTTGTAGCTGTTGACTCGACACATATGTAATAAAGAGTTGAGTTGAATTATTAAATCTATTACTCCCTTATTGCCTTTACAGATAACTTCTTCCGGTGGACCTGGGGTTACAATGCTGTAATTACCTGTGTCTTGAGTGCAGACCAGCAGCGAGCAACACGGATCCTCTGCTAGCTTCTCGATACAGGCCGGGTCATTTATCCGTGCTCCACGCCTGAAGAATGGCATGGAGCACCTCGGCCTGCAGATAGCCTTGCCGTCAAAGCCACACTCACACGACTCACTGCATCCTCGGTCAAACTTCTGACCTTGTATACAACTACTGCCGTTGACCATAGTAAAATCAGAGGAATTACTAGCGACTGTCGTTGAAGTTGGATGTTCTGTAGATGTCACGGATGTTGACGACGAGTTCTGGAGGAGTGGAGGCGGCATTGTAATGTTAAATACGGTGATGTTCATTTCGTCGTCATGTATCTGTGTGGGTAGGATTGCGGTTTCATCAATATCATCCAAGGACAAGTCTTGTAGGGAGCTGTTCTCTGCTGACACTGCGGCCTGGCTGCCAGCCGATTGGTGTTCATGCACGTCCAAGTTCATTGCACGACCATGCGCTGCTCCACTGCTGGAATTCCTTGATGTTTCCTCGTCTGTTTGTGGTTTGAGATGTGTCTGACCGCCACCATCGCTGGGTTCCGAAGCGTTGAATAATAGTGGTCTTGCGCTTGTGGAAGTGTTGTTGCTGGCTATTTCTGTAGTAAGGGGATTCGATGTAGTGGACGGCGTCAGCGTCTGTGACGATGATGCAGTAGCATTCCCGACGGATTCTGTAAACAGGAGAAATACAAGTCATAAACATCGGATCTCCATACTTGGGTTTATCAATAGCAGACCGCCAGCAAGCCTCACCTTAAATTATGTCGATCTCTAAACTATAGTTAAGTCATAGTATACACTATTGTATGAGTGTTTGTGGGGAGGGGCACGCGGTAGCGTTGTTGGCTGAGGCACTATGTTACAAGCCGGAAGGTCGTAGGATCGAATATCGATGAGGTCATTTGATTTTCTTCAATTTACCTAATCCTTCCAGCCGCATTATGGCCCTGGGGTCGACTCAGCCTCTAACAGAAATGAGTACCATGAATATTCTTGCAATGTTCTTGGGGGTAAAAGGCGGCCGGCGGGTAGGGCTGACAACCTTACCGCCATCTATGAGCCGATTTTCTAGAAAATGTGGGAACCTCAACATCTCACAAACCTATAGGCCTCCAAGGCCTGTTACAGGGATATCTTTACTTTACTTATATATATGTATGTACACACACACACACACAGACACACACACACACACATATATATATATAATTTTTCAGACGCGGAAAATATATGAATTTATAATTAATGTCCCTCTTTTCCCCTCTCTTATCCTGTTAATGATTAAATAATTTGTATTTAACATTGCCACATTTGTACTGAACAGAAGCCTACCAAATTCATTCATTCATTCATTCATTCATTCATTCACCTGTGGCTCTACAGTCTTTTTGTCAGACCTTGGCCGCTTTTTCAGTTTATTAATCTTTTACACAGATAGTAGGATTCCTTGGACGAGTGATCAGGCCGTCGCAAGACACCTACCTACACACAGGAGAACACAAACACAGAATAAAGGAACACAGACATTCATGCCTCAAGTGGGATTCGAACCCACGATCCCAGTGTTTGAGCCTTAGACCGCGCAGCCACTGTGTTAAATTAATTATAAACATAGTGCCAAAACCTGAAGATTAAACACCACTAGCACCAAAGCCCGCCAGTTAATGGACAAGAGCATGAGCCAATTCTATATCACCTCCCATCCTCAGAACCATCTCCGTAAGATGTATCTTAGGCCTCATATTATTCCACCTACTTGATAGTCTTTCAAGAAGACATAGACCTGCTTCAAGACTGTCTCTCGCCATAATTACGTAATCTCGAAATGATAATAATATTAATAATAAAGACGATTATGACCGTGATGTAACTGATACATTTAGACGCCAGCCAGGGCCGCCTTCAAGTCTAAATCAGTCAGTATGGGATTTATAGTGCGCTAAGTGACAACAGGACATACTGTTAATAATAGTTCTAGAGCCCGATCACTTTGGTCGCGCGGTCTAAGGCAAGAACTGTCTTCGGTGCTATTATTCGTAATCCAGTTTTCGGGATAGAATGAGAAATATGATTCGTGCGTAATAGTCCTACTTACGCATGTCTGCTAACTAACACAATAAGAGGTATTGTATGTGAGAGATTAATTTGTAGGACGAAATATTTAGCTGTTTGTTCACTATTAACTTTGACTGAAAACAAAGCGCTGAGGAAACTATACATATCGGTGAACCTTAACTATAGAGGGAACACAGAAATGTACGTAATTCAGAACTTCATTGTTTGTGCAAATACAAGCTGAAAATATTCCTGTGTTTAATTAATTAATCACAACGGAATGGAGACGTGTGGGGGAGTGAATGTATAGCTAAATAATTCTTGACCTCAGCACTAGGAGGTGAGTGGTTAGCTTCACTCCCCGGCCGCTTTACCCTCTGGGAAATAGTCCCGGTACCCATTTTATAGGAGACTGGGTGAGCCCCAGAAACGGTCTAGATGCTTTAGAGAATAAAATACAATATAATCCATAATTACGCTGAATGAATCAAGAAACGTGAGATGAAATGGGAATGTAGCACATAAGAAATAAAAAGAACGCAAACAAAATTATTTCTGGAAAAATTCTTGTGATGAAGCTGTCTGGGAAACTACAATAGCGAGTGGAGGAAGGTAATGAAACGAGAAATATTTCGTAGAAAATTACGTTGTTGAAGGTGCGAAACGCCGTGACTCACAATGAAGCACAATGGCGGAGTTTTATCGCGGTGCAAATGCGATAAAAGAAAGAACAAAGAAAATAAGAAAAGAAGGAGGGAGGTAGGCATAAAGTGATAGGAAGAAGACGGCTTAAGTGGCAAGTTGAAGTAAGTGCTCCATTAACAACAAGCACACGAACTCGTGGTTCCAGATAAGTCACATGAAACCGTGATTTGCTGGGTGAGTCACACGTGTTCCCTTCTCCGTGGCACATTCTCAGCTCACGAAGCGGCAATTCTGCAGTACCATTCTGCGAGAAATAAAGGAAGTTACTTTATATATGAGATGTTTTACCGCAAAAGGAAAACTTCACCCTCTATTAAGACTGTATTTCAAAAGAACGATCGAGGGAATATTCCTACGCGTTGATGACTATATTCGAATATAAATGGGAATAGCAGGAGTCTGTCAGAGAGGAAGTTTCAAAAGGCGTATATTTCGAGCTAGTTTTAGCCTACCTTCCTTATTAAAAAAAAATAAGGTTATGAGATCACCTTACTGTCTGTGTACCCTCCCTAATTTTTTGAAGCCTTATGAGAACACCTTGCCGATCGCAGTGGCTGCGCTGTCTTCGCTCGTTCGAACGCTAGGGCCGTGGGTTAGAATCCCGCTTGAGGTATGTATGTCTGTGTGCATTTATTATGTGTTTGTGCTGTTCTTTGTGTAGGTAGTGGCCTTGCGACGGGCTGATCCCCCGTTCAAGGAGTTCTACCAACTGTGTATAGATCAAGAAACTAAAGAAAAAAACGGCGAAGGCCCAACAAAGGGCTGTACAGCCATAATAATAATAATAATAATAATAATAGGAGTTCATCTTTCTGTGTGTGTGTCCCCTAATTATTTCATTTTATATGATGTCCATGTCATAAGAAAATGAAGTTAGAGGGACTCCATAGAAAGCACCACTTTACACAGTTCTATTGTTACGCATGTTATCCGTTGCCGCGGACACGTGTATAGAGATATGTTGCCTAGCAACGACCTTCTGTTCTGGCTCCACTATTCCGGCTTCCAGCAATTATGTTTATTCACGTGTATTTCACTGCTTGTTACTTCGTAATTGAAAATACAAATGATACTTAATAGAACCAATAAAATAAGAACTACTCTTTTCCTCTATACTCAATTAACTGCTTTCGCAGTTGATGCAGTGTTATTAAGCAGACAATCAATCAACATCGACACTGACGTTCAAATGAGAATGAAACCAGATAAGTACATTAACACCGCAACAAATCTCTGGTGAAAATCAGAAACAGTAATTGCTACGCTTTCCATTAGCAAGACATATGCTGATGGTCGTTCACCCTCCACGTGGACTGTTGCTGCACACTGTGTGAATGCACTGATGCCTTACTAAACATTCATTATCTCTATACTGTAATTGGCACTAATTTTCTTTTATAAACAGGCCATGAAGGCCCATAGGGTTGTGAGATGTCGAGGCTCCGGCATTTTCTAGACAATCAGCTCACAGTTTGCGGTGAGCTTCTCAGCTTTATGCGCCGGCCGTCCTTTACCCCCAGGATGATTCATGGTACTCATTTCTGTTAGAGGCTGAGTCGACCCAAAGCCATAGTGCGGCTGGAAGAATTAGGTCAACTGAAAATTTCAGTGAGAGGAATAGCTTTTTAATTGACATTGAATAACATACGCATTATTGTATTGTTTCCAATTAATATTTCACTAAATACTGAACGAAACATTGTCTCATATGTCAAGAGGGACGGTTTAGAGTAATCAGAGAACAGGAAGTATTCCAGCTGACTACAAAAGAACCTAATTTCATCCCAATTAATTATTAATCTGAAGAACATGAAGGAAAGAACTTCGAAGACGTAGGCGTGGATGAAAGGATAATATTAAAATGGATCTTAAAGTAATAGTTTGGTAGTGTGTAGACTGGATTCATGTGCCTCAAGAACGGAACCAATGACGGTCTATTGTGAACGGGGTATTGAAACTGTGGGTTGCATAACATGCTGGGAATTTCTTAACTAATTAAGCAACTATCAGTTTCACAAGAATCTTCGCCTTTCATGTAACCCGAAGGTTAATAGCCATATTCGGAATAAGAAAACGTGAAAACATAAAAATGATTAAATTTGTGATTTTTTTTCTGGGTAATATTTGTTAGATATTTAAAATTTCACATAGAATCATTTTAGGAATTGTGGGCTTCAGTACGTTACAATTATCACTATAAACTATAAACAAAATGTTGCTTTGAAAACTGTATAGCCCACATCTGCATTATTAACTTGTTTAATCCGTTCCTCGTATACCTTACGGTGTCGAGTTTTTTTTTTTTCATTTTGATCACTTTACAGACGGTAGGACTCCTTAGATGGGAGATCAGCTCGTCGCAAAGCCTCTACCTAAACATAGGACAACACAAACACAAAATAAACACACACATACCAAACATCCATGCCTTTTGTGGGATTCGAACCCACGATCCCGGCTTCCGAACGAGCGAAGACAGTTCATGCCCTAGACCGCTCGGCTATCGTGACCAGCGCATTAACTCTACTACAAAAAAGCATATCACACGAATCAATTAACATGGATGTATTAATTAATCACGAGAGTCTGGGGAAGAATTCTTGATTGAATATTTGACAGTTATTCAGCCGGCCAAGAAGTAAGTTGCTCTTATTCATTTTCGTGTGTCACTGAAGTTCACAATGAAAGACCATCTTAAACACAGTTAAATCCATCTGCACACTCTATTCCTCCAGATCAATATTAATATTATCCTCTCATCTGCGTGTAAGCCTCCCAAATTATATCTTCTTTCGAAGATTTTATTTTTTACACGGCGGTGACTATGAAGAATGTCGTCTTCTGGGATGTGGCGCCGTGTAGACTTTGTGTGAACCGATTTTTCGGAGGAACATATCGCCTCCATCTTCAG